CCCAGGTTATGAGCCCTTGGCTCCACTCCCACCAGCTGCCTCGGCTGTGCCTGTCTGGCAGGACCGCACCATCGCCTCCGCCAAGCTCCGGCTCCTGGAGTACTCTGCCTTCATGGAGGTGCCGCGGGATGCTGAAACGGTAACATATCCCCTCCATGTCCCCACTACCTGTGGGGGATGGCACACACACCTGTGCTTGGTGGCATCTTGCTTTCACCTGATCTCTCATTCTAATGTCCCCGGTCCCTACAGTACAGCAAACACCTCTTTGTGCACATTGGCCAGACGAACCCCTCATACAGCGACCCACTGCTGGAGGCTGTGGACATCCGCCAGATCTATGACAAGTTCCCTGAGAAGAAAGGTGGCCTTAAGGAACTCTATGAGCGTGGGCCCCAGAACTCCTTCTTTCTCGTCAAGTTTTGGGTATGATGCTGGGAGGATTAGGATGGGAAGGGTCATCCTTGAGCCACGGGCTTGTTGCAGGTTGGATCCCCTGCCAGCATGAAAGCTGCTGTCTCCTGTCCCCATCGAGAGCTGGGTGTGGTGGTGCCTAATGGGACCCTCTCTCCCCTCATCTCTCCAGGCTGATCTGAACAGTACAATCCAGGATGGGCCAGGGACCTTCTATGGTGTCAGCAGCCAGTACAGCAGTGCAGAGAACATGACCATCACAGTATCCACCAAGGTGTGCTCCTTTGGGAAGCAGGTCGTGGAGAAAGTGGAGGTGAGTTCCATGCCCTGCTGCATCAGGAAGGGGTACGAATTGGTCCACAGTGGGTCCTGGGATGGAGAAAGCCCCAGAGCTTGGTGTAGGGCATGTGGCTTCATACCTGGCCATGGGTGGACCAGAGAGGACATCACAATGTCCCATCTGGCCACCACCTGCCCATACCTACGTCCCATGTGACAGCTGCTCTCCCTGGCTGTCCCCTGCAGACGGAGTATGCACGTCTGGAGAACGGACGGTTTGTCTACCGCATCCACCGGTCTCCCATGTGCGAGTATATGATCAACTTCATCCACAAACTCAAGCACCTCCCAGAGAAGTACATGATGAACAGTGTCCTGGAGAATTTCACCATCCTGCAGGTACCTCCACTCCTTTTCCAGGGAATGTTTCCCACCGCAAGTGTGGAGCCTGAACTCACATTGGCCCTACCGACCCTGGGCATGTGCTCCAGCAGCTCAGATACTCCTGGCTGTGCCTTAGCTCACACAGCCCCTGAATTCCAGGGAGCAGATCTTGATGGTGCAAACAAAGTGGCTATGCCTGAGGCTGGACAAGTCTCCCAGATAATGGGGAGCAAATTTTTCATGGTGCAATTAAATAGGCTGTGCCTGAGCCAGTTTGCCTTCCCCAAGTAATGGGTAGCAATTTTTGATGGTGCAAATGCAGTGGCTGTGCCTGAGCCCATGCAACCCTCCCCCAGACAACAGGTAGCAAATTTTTGGTGGTGCAATTCAGGCTGTTCCTGAGCCTGTGCCCTCCCCAGTCCCCAAAATTGGGCAGTAAATATTGATGGTGCAATTAAATTGACTTTGCCAGTGCCTGTGCAACCCTACAAATAAGGGGTAAGAAAATTTTTCATGGTGCAAAGTGGCTGTGCCCATGCAAATGAGCCCATGCAACCCCCTGAATAACTGCATCTGCCCACAGCACTCCCCTAACATGCTCTGCTCTGCTACAGGTTGTTACGAACAGGGATACCCAGGAAACCTTGCTCTGCATTGCCTTTGTTTTCGAGGTCTCCACCAGCGAGCACGGCGCCCAGCACCATGTGTACAAGTTAGTCAAGGACTAGGGGCACTCGGGGACAGGCAGGGGCACAAGGGGCATGCAGGGGAGGGAGGGGGCCATGCAGAGTAGCCGCCCGTGCCTGTTGCCTTGTGAGAAGTCGTTTGAAGAGAGAAGGAGGAAGAACAACAATAGCCAAAAAAGACTGACTTGTGATTGCAGATGTTTTCTACTTAGGAACAGTTTTTTTTTTTTTTTAAAAAATGGAAAAAAAAAAAAAAAAAAAAAAGAAGAATGGGAAAAGAAACATAGGCAGAAAGAAACCTACATCCGGTGCTGGATGGGGAGAGACCAGTCCTTGGTGTTGCTGATATAGGCCAGGATCCCACCGTGCCGTCACCAGCAGGATGTCGGAGCAGAGAACGACCCTTCCTTTCAACCTCTGCCCTCACTCAAAAGAAGTCCTGGTGGAGAAGTGGAGAGGAAGTGAACACAGATGGGCTGGAGGAGGGGGCATTGCACCAGGTCTGGTCCAAAACTGATTGGCATGGCAGCAGCAGCATCATTGGCATGGCTTGGCAGAGCCAAGGTGGCAGGGGGGACCTGGGGACGGATGTGCAAGGCAGGAGCAGGGCAGGGCAGAGTGGAGGAGGGGGACATTGCTGCCTCCGTGAGACTGGCAGCCAGGAGCTTCTCTGTGCGCAGTTGGGGCATGGGGAACCAGTGGCAGTGAAGGCATGAGGGCATCGACAATGCAAACCGTGTTTTTTTATGGCTCTTTTTTTTCCCCTTCTTTTAAGTTAAAGTGCTTTTTAATACTTTTTAAAAGGACACCATGCTTGTAATCAGGATGATGTAACTCTGCAGTGCCTGGGACTCTGCCCCATGCCGTGCTGGTGACCAACAGAGGTGACAGCAGAGTTTGCTGGGTTGGAGGCAACAGCGGAACTGCCAGGCACGGGGAGTGGCTTGTGTAGGAAGGCTCAGGATGTTTTCGTCTCTGGCTGGTTTTTGTGTGGGATCCCCTGAGCTCTGTGTGCACTTTCAAGGATAGCGCTTGGGGATGGCCCAGGCTCAATGTCCCTGCTGTGGTCACTTACTGAGGAATCATAAGTAGAGAGCAGTGAGGGCAGATTTGCCTGATTTATTTTACATATATACATTTTCCTTGTTTCGGTTCTTTTTTCTTCACCTTTTTTGCCTTTTTTTCTGTGTTGACTGCTGTGGATTGCTCTGTCCACTTGCCTGCATCCTGTGGGAAGTGACCAGAGAGGTGGCTCGTGCAAGGAAAAGCATATTGAGCAACGCAGGGCCGGGCTGTCAGTGAGCAGGATTTAGGACAGAGAGGGGACAGAGAACAGGAGGGATGCCAGGATAAGGGACTGGGTCTGCTTGGAGGTATTTTTGTGGCTACAGCCCAAAGTAAGCCAAGGCAGCATGCCCAGTCCTGAGGCTGCGACTGCAAGAACAGAGGCTGGGAAGAGCATCCCTGAGGTGCAGAAGGGGCACAGAGAGACGAGGTGGCACGGAGCAAGGTGGCAGGAGGTTGGCAGGGGGACAGGGAGCCCAAGGTGGCCAGGTCTGGACAGGTTTTTCGTGTTGGCAAGGGAGGGAGGGTGGCAGGAAATGCAGAGACCAGTGCTGCAGGGGAGCGGGAGTGGTTTGAGTGGGGCTGAAGCCCATGATGGGAAGACAGGGCAGGTTTAGGCTCAATGCTGCCATGTGCAAAGGAGCAGGAACAGCCTCAGAGCCCAGGAAAGTGCCTTGGCTGCCACTCTGATGCCATGTCTGGTGAGGCATAGGGACTTTGACCTCTTGCTGCTGGGAGAAGACACCCATCCCTGTGGGACAGGGTGTCTGCCCCACGCCCAGCTGAGGGCTCAGTGGTGGGACTAGACTTAGGCAGCTGCAGTGACTGGGGCAGATCGAGCAGGGTGGAAAGAGAGGGAAAAATCCAAGGCAAGGCACTGGCATCCTATCCCAGTGCTGTACTAGGGCTGCCTAGCTGAGTTCTCATATGTAGCATGTTTGTTGTTTTGTTCTTTTTTTTTTTTGTTTTTTTTTCCTCCCCTTTCACTCACTGATTTAAAACTCTGGGAATGAAAACACAAAACTCCCCCACCATTAAACACAGGTGTGCCCCACTCCCTGCCCCAACCAGGGACGAAGCTCTTCATTAACTGGACTGGTTTATGCCTCCACCCCTTCCTGTATCCCTGTATCCCTCCATCCCGCCTGCACTGAGCCCCAGGGTGTGCACCCACACCCCAGGCACACGCTGACTGGTGCCCCCAGCAGCCCTGGCCAGGGTTTAGCCAGGATCCCAGAGACACTTTCTCAACTTCCCCACCTCCCAGTCCCTCTGTTCTCCAGTGTATTTATGAATTTCACATGAAGTACTGTTTTATTTTTTTAAAGACTTTGTAAAGCTTACCAGGGTTACAATCACCATTTTTAGAGCTGTGTCAGTCCACAATGTTAAAAATCCAATTTTTTATGTATTATATTTTTTGTGTATTTTTTTTAATCCAGCTGTGATGGGTTGTATCATATATTTGTTGTGTTTACTGTATCTGTCCAACTTCAAAGAGAGGAGACTGTGGAGCTCCAAAAAATTACAGTCTGCTAAAAAAAAAAATTAAAATTATTTGTTCATGGGTTGGCTCAAGTGCTTCTGAAGTTAATATTTTATTTCTTGGGGTTTTCTTCAACAACCAGGACTATGAAAGCTTCTATGTCCCATGAAACCCCATGGCTGGGTAACGTTTCTCCCGGGACCCCCTCTCCCGGCACCAGGATACCACATGCAGCTGTATTTTGCTCTGATTTGAATCACTGGTGCAGGGTTTGCTTGGGAAAGGTCGGCCAACTGCACGGCAGACGCTTCCCTGCAATTCCCCACAGCATCACTGGATTCAGGGACACGTTTTAGAGGTCACACTCTCGCCCACGCCAGCGGCAGAAGGCTGGTCTGTCCCACCAGCCAGCAACACCCCTCGAAGCCCTGCTCGTAGTGCCTCGGCTGTTCGGTACACACACCCCGTTCCACACACAAGGGACAGAGATGACGTATTTTAACACCAGCTGCTTTTCCCCGTTCTGCGAGACACCCGTACCCCAGTGTTCCTCCTGCATCCCCCAGCGCCCCCCACTACACCCACCGCACGTCGGCCCCGGCCCATTCACCGACCGCTGCACCAGACCCCCCCACCCGGTCCCATTCATTCGCACCGGCCCCCGGCCCTTCCCCTTCCGCTCCGCTCCGTTGCCTGCCGGGACGCGTAGTCCCCCCAGTCCCGCGCCGCTGCCGGCCCGCTCCAGGTCTGCTCTCGGCTCCGCCTGTCGCTCCGCGCCCCGTTCCTCCTGTTATTCCGCTCCCGTCCCCGCTAGGCTGGTTGCCGCATTCCGCTTGTTGCTCCGCTCCGTCTGTTGCCCCGCTCCTCCCGTAGCTCCGCTCCTCCGGTTGTCCCGCTCCTCCTGTTGCGCCGCTCCGCCTGTTGCCGCTTCCCTGTCCCGCTCCGCGTCCCGCTGCTGTAGCGCCGCCCGCCCGTCCCTCGGGAAGCTGGGAGAGGAGAGCGCCTCGAAGGGCTCAGCCTTGGTAGGAGACGCCGGTATTAGCACTGCGCAGAAACGGGATGAACAGCTCGGTAGTGCCGCCGGAGCAGGCAGAGCTCGGCTCCCGCACCCGGCCGCCTGCACCCGGCATCCTGGAGCCCCACGGTTTCTCTTTCTCGCTTCTAAACCGGAAACTGGATAATCTCACGGGGTCAGGCGTGAGAGAAGCGGGGGCTGGGGGAGCGCTGGAGCTGCTTAGGGAGCTGCTGGCTTCTCCGGGGTTTGGAGTCTCCAAAAGGATGCGTGGGTTTCCCGAGTGGGGAGGTGTATGGGGTTGTCCCATGCTCGTGCTTCGCAGTTCCGTTTTGAAACCAGGGTGAAAGTCCATCCTGGAACACAACTCACTGACAGACAGAGGGGTTGAGCCCTGTACCCTGTCCCTGTCCCACCAGTGTCCAAACTCACTGGATGGAGGGTCGTATGGTGGTCAGGGTACATGGATTCCCTTCTGGGGGCAAATTGGGTTTTGGGATGGGCCTTGTGCACAGGACAGGAGGGAACAGGCCCAGGGTAGGCTGGAGCACCCTGAGCACTCCTCCTTCCTGGCCTTTGCCTTGGCTCAGCCCTTTTGCCACGCCAGCCCGGATCCCTGGCTCTGTCCTGCACCCTCCGCCGGCTCCCCGGGGCTGTTCCCCCAACCTGCACCCTGCAGGATTTCCCCCTGCCCAGCGTTGCCCTCTGGCCCCTGCAAAATCCAGCAAGTGATGGAGGGTGATCCTGCCCTGCGCCTTCGTGTCTTTGACCTCAACTGCTGGTGAGTCCAGTGTTCACCAGGGCTGTGCTGGGCTGCATGGGTGGGGACAGGGACACCACACTGGGAGAAGGGTCCCACTTTGGGGGTTATCTTTGTGTCCCCTTCATTTTGGAGTCACACCACTGTCCTAGCCCTAGAGGGTTGTGAGGGTAGTGCTCGGCTGGGTAGTGCCACCAGTCCTCTCTGTGCCTGTTAACCCCAGAGAAGGTCCCCCATTTGCACCCCAAGCAGGGATGAGCTGCCTCAGTTCTGCAGGTAGGAGAAGTTGGCCTCAAACAGCCTCCCTGCATTATCCCTCTTGTCCAAATGGCCTCTCATAGCCCTTTCCCATCTGCATCCTGCTTACACTGGTACTGGAGCCCTCTCTCCCCCCTTTTGGGTCGCAGTGTGCTCTGACAGCCCCCATCACCCTGTCCCCATTAGGCTGTGACTGTCACCCCTCTCTGGTAGGGCCATTCGCTACCTGAGCAAACGGCGGCAGGAACGCATCCGACTCATTGGGGACATGCTGCGCCAGGAGGACTTTGATCTGGTGCTTCTCCAGGAGGTGAGGACAGTTTGTGAGCCGAGTGCCCATTCCCGGTGGGAAGTGAGCGTGACTGTTCTCAGCTCATCCCACTCTTCTTCAGGTGTGGAGTGAGCGGGACTACAGTGACTTGAATGTGAAACTAGGAGGCTGTTACCCCTTCTCTCATTACTTCCGCAGGTGAGAAGGACAAGGCCAGCCCCCCAGGGCTGTCTGTAGGAAAGTGGGCAGGGCTGTGCCATGCCCTGTGTTTGACACACGTAGAGACTGGTGCAGGTGCTGTAGGTCACCTCTGTCGCTATGGGAGACCCCATGCCTGGAGAGTGGGATGCTCACGGGAGCACACTAGGACCCAGGCATCCATGGAGCCCTCCTGGCTTGGGCCTGGAGAGAGGCAGAGGTTTTGCGGATCACACTTCCTCACTGTGCTTTTCCCCTCCTGCAGTGGGGTGATCGGCAGCGGCCTCTGCGTTTTCTCCAGGTTCCCCATTCTGGACACACTTCTCTACCAGTACTCACTGAATGGGTACCCCTACATGGTAAGTGGGGCAGGAGGCATATGGCACCATTGTGTCCATCCCCATGGAGCCTCAGTGGCCCCAGCCTGCTCTTCTTCCCCTCTGGCAGCTCCAGCACGGGGACTGGTTTTGTGGCAAGTCTGTCGGCCTCGTCATCATTAAAATCTCAGGGATCATCTTCAACATCTATGTCACCCATGTGAGCATCCCAGGGAAGGACCCACCATTGAGGGGGATGATGGGGAGGAAGGGGATGAATGGCTGTGCCACTCCTTCGCTGTCTGCTTGCTTTAACCACTGCTCTTCACCCTCTGTCCTGGACTATGCATTGATTTAATAAAATATTGCTCAGGAACGGGGAGCAGGGACACACAGGCTGGCTGTGCAGTGGGTGAGCATCCCAGGCTGTCCCTAGGGGGATGAGATAAAGGCAGATGTGTTGACCAGACCCTAGGGGGCTGTCTAGAGTGGTTAGGTAGGTCTGCAGGGAGCCTGGGAGCAAGGCAGGCGTTGGCATGGGAGTCAGCCTCATTTGCTCCCCTGCTCTCACCAGCTGCACGCTGAGTACTGCCGGGAGAAGGACGCCTACCTGCCCCACCGCCTGGTGCAGGCCTGGGAGCTGGCACAGTTCATCCGGTGAGCAGCCAAGGGGTACCCCACAGCGTCCCCCACTGCAGGTCCCCAAGATATGTGCAGTCACCCCTGCCCCTGGGTCTTGCACTGCAGAGAGCTCCCAGTCAGAGTAAGGCTGAGAAGCACTGGGTGGGTCCCAATCCCTGCAGTCCGGTGCAGGGCAGGGCAGGGATGGGAGGTTAGCCATCCTTGCCCCCACAGACACACCTGCAAGGCGGCTGATGTGGTGTTGCTGGGAGGGGACCTGAACATGCACCCCGAAGATGTGGGCATCCGGCTGCTGTGTGGCTGGACAGGGCTGCGGGATGCCTTTGCTGAGGCCACACACTTTGAGGTGAGCAATAGGAACTGAGTGAGGTCCCAGGGCAAACCAAGAGGCCCTGACCAACCAAAGTGCTTGTCTCAGGGCTGTGAGGATGGTTGTACCCTTGTCCCCAACAACTGCTTCACTGACAAATCAGAGCTGCTGCCCTTCCCACTGGGTATCCGCATCGATTACATCCTCTACAAGGTAACGGGGGACCCTTGGCCACCAGCTGTGAGTGTTGAGGCTGAGGCACTGGTGTGACCCCCTTGCACCCTCACGCAGGCCATCTCCAGCTTCACGGTAAAGTGTGAAGAGCTGAAAACCACCACAGGGGCAGCTCCGGGCATGGACGTCCCCTTCTCGGACCATGAAGCTGTGATGGCAACACTGCACATCCAGAGGCAGGGACAGGCTGCGGGTGCCACCCTCACCACTACTGGTAAGTTAGGGGGCTGCTGCCAGTGTCCACCACGTGCTGGGAGGGCTGGTGGATGCATTGATGGAGTTGGATGGAGTTTTTTTGGGATGTTTACCCTTGCGTAGGACATCCTCTGGAGTGGTGCTCATGGAGGGGTGCATGGAATAATGCAGCATGTGGGGATGGGAAAAAGTGGGGGTATAGGAGTGGTATAGGAGGGCTCCACCCTGCTGAGGCCCCTTGTGTCCGCAGAGCCAATGCTAGCAGATGTGGTGACAGAGGCACGGACAGAGGTGGGCGTGGGGCTGCGGGCAGCGCAGCAGCAGCGCTACTCCTCGGGCAGGATGGCCTTGCTGGCCCTGCTGCTGCTGCTGCTGCAAGCCATGGCCGCACTGGGTGCACTGGCAGGGCTGAACGCCGGGCAGCCCTTCCCCAAGCTCTCCTTCTGCCTGCTGGCCTTCCTTGCCATTGGCATTCTCCTTCTTGCCACTGGTCTCCACCTGTTTCACACCATGGAGGTGAAGATGCTGCACAGCACTGAGGAGCAGATGCGGATGGTGCTGCGGACGCTGCAGGAACGTCCCAGTGACGACTGAACCGAGGCTGTGGGTCCCACGTTCCCCCGCCCCCAGCCCTACTGTGTCCCTTTTTGATCCTTTTTTTAGCTGGCTTCTGGCAGCAGTGCAGCCAATGCAGTAGTGCAGGTTTGACATCTGCCTAAGAGAAATTAAGATTTTGGGGGTAGATTCGTTGCACTGGCCCTTGTGGGAACTACGATGGAGGTGGGGTTTTATTGCTTTTTAAATACACCCTTTGTACCTGGAGGGACCTGCTGGCCTGGCTGGGAGACTTGAAAGGCTCAGGCTCCACATGCCTGGGGTGGAATGCTGGTGACTGCTCGAACAACCAGATTTGATTCAGATAGAAAATAAAGGTGGTATTTTAGCCCTTGGTGCTGGGTCAGGGGGCTTTATTGGAAAGGAGGGGGGTTGCAACAGGATGGTAGGGCTGGTACAAACACAAGGGGGGGCTGGAGGAGACACTGAGGGGAATGGTAGGATAAGGGCTGAACACAGGGTGGTATTGCTAACAGAAGAACCCATGCCTGGGACCCCTGTCCCCAACATATCTGGGGCTGCTGCAAGATCCATTCAGCCACAGAGGCCACCCTGCAACATCTGGAGACTCGGGGGGGGTCTGAGGTCTGTGCAAAGGTCATTGAGGCATTGCCAAGAAACCCAAAAGGGGCAAGGAGGACATGGCCCCTGGCATCCCTTATACTTGGTATCAAAGAACGAAGGCCCTGGGCACAATCCCCTCCAGAGCTGCTGGACAAAATGCCCTTCCCTGCCCCAAGGGGCTCATGGTGGGGTTGTGATCTTGGTTTCCTGCGGCAGCTGGGGACACTGTGGACATGGCATGCAAAAGCAGCTATGCAGAGTGGCAGGATCACCCCAATCTGTCACTGGCCCCCACTTGTACAGGCAAATGTCCCTCGAAGAGATGGACAGTCCAGGCTGGGATGGATGCCCTCAGCTGGAAGGGATGTCCCACGGTAGCTTCCAGGGACCTGTCCTGATGCTGCCCCTGCACATTTGGCATCTACCCTGTGACCTGCCTGTGGTGGCTACGGTCACCTCCTTGCTGCTGGGCACCCCTGCAGCCCTCTTCTGGAGCCTCCTGCAAATCTTATTTTCAAGCAAGCACAAGGCAAAGGCAATCCAGCCACATGCGAGAACGCCCGCTTTGCACCCCAAAGCTGGGTGCTTCTCAGTGTCTGTCCATGTGGGCATTCACCAGCAGGTCTGGCCCTTCTGTGACAGGCTTTGGCAAGCAGGAAGCTGGATTTGCCATGGCAGCTGCTGGTGCTTGCAAGCAGCTCAGGCATCACCACCATCACAGAGGAAGCTCAGAGTGATGCCTGTACCAGGAGACACACACACACACACACACACACACACACTGCTTGTCCCCCCGGGGAGGATCTGGTGGGTCCATGGGCTGTGCAGATCAGGCCCGCAGCTCACTGAGTCGCTTCTCCTCCTGGATGTGGATGAGGAGGTTGCGCTCATTCACCACCTTCAACAGCTGCGCCAAGGTCTCCTGCTCAGCCTTGCAATCCTCGGGTGTCTTTAGGGTTTCTGTGGGTGCAGGGGGCCAGAGTAGGGCTGGGTGGGCCACAGCCCTGGTCTGCTCCCCACACCATGCACAGGGACCTCCCTCCCATGGCAAGTAGTGGCACTCACCCTCCCTGTTCATGTAACTCCGGAGCTTCTTGTCAAGCTGCCACTGCTGCTCCTCCAGCTTCAGTTCCTGCACCCTGCAGGGAGGGAAAGAGTGTGCTGAGTGCTGGGTTCAAGAGAGGCTGGGGGAAGCTGAGCCCCAACACTGACTGGAGAGCATCCCCCCAAGCCTTACGCAATCATGAGGTCCGACTCCTCAATCATCAGACTGTTCTTCTTCTGGACCAAGTACAGCAGCTGGTTTGTCCACTGTGTCTGCTGGTCGGCTGGGCTGCCTGTGGGACAGGGAGATGAGTGGGGTGCAAACCCCCATCACAGGGATCACAGTGGTCCATCTAGCTTGGTCTTACCATTCTCATCCCGGAGTAACTTCTCCAGTTTGATGCCTTCCTTCTCCAGTTCCCGGAATGTCACCTCAATCTCCTCCAGCCGTCTCTGGATGGCCTGCAAGGGAAAGGCAGCACTCGCCTGTGGGCCGGCACCTGCCATCACACGGTCACCAGTAGCTGGATGGAGGGGACAGGGGACAGTGCTGGGTTGGGGACCCAGCTCTCCCCTCTGGGGGTTACCTGGGCTTTGCAGAACCGCTTCATGTGGGCTTCCCTGGCCTGGCGGGCCAGTGTATGCTCACAGGTGGGGTATATATCCTCTTCCCCCAGGTTCGGGCACTGTGAAGAGATGGTGGCATGGGCAGAGAGGGTCAATTCCTGCACCGGGCACCTCCCGCCTCGGCAGCCACGGCTGAGCCAGACCTGATGCCTGTGAGAGGAGATGCCGGCAAGAGCCCCACCTAACACCTGTGCTGGTGGGGCCACTGCCACTCCAGAAAAATCCTCACCAACTCTGCCGTGATGCCAAGATGTATGCCTTCCTCTTCTTTCTCCTCTTCCTCGCTGTCACTCTCCTCCAAAGCTGCCCCAAGAGAAGAACCCTTTCAGGCTGGTGCCTCATGAGCAAGATGTGGGGTACAGCAGGTTACAGCAGGGTTCTGAAGAGACCGAGAGCTCTACTCATCCGGAGACTCCAGCTTCTACCACCTACTTTTCTGCATGTCAAGTTCCTCCTCCTCCTCCACCTTCCAGGAGTCTTGACCCTGCCACAGGGCAGGGAGGGCCTCAGGCACTGCTTGGAGCCACAGACGAGCTGGCTTCGGTGGAAGATCAGGCTCTGCTTCACTGGTGAGGTTCAGCGTGGACAGATTGAGCTTCTCCAGTGGTGTAAGGATGATCTTCCTCCTGCCCCCACTCTCCTCACTCTCCTCTGCCACCCCCTGGGGTTCTGCTCCAGGACCCTCCTCCTCCCTCACATCCTCCCTGAGCTGTGCCAGCAGCTCCTGCTCCTTCACATCACCAGCATCCGTAGCATCCTCCACTGCGCCAGGCTCTTCCCCTCGCTGTGGAGCTGCTGGAGTGGGTTGTACGAGACCGGACGCCCCCTCCCTGGGGGACACACATGGGCTCCCAGCATCCAAGGGTGGGTTGGTGGCAGCAACAGCATCCTAGGGCAGAGCCAGAGCAGAGGGGTGATGCAGCATGGGGCCATGCCCAAGCATCCCCCTCCATATACTGCCTTTCCTCCATCACCTAGGTGATTTAGGGTGATTTACCCTATCAGGCAGTCCTGGGGCCTCGTGCTGGGGTAGGTCCATGCCGGGTAGATTGGGGTAGTGAAGTGAGCAGTAAAAATTACCTGGGGGGCAAATTCATGTGATGACCTGCAAGGTAGAGAAGTCCTACCCCAAGCATCCCCTTTCCCCAAAACCCGCCTCACCATCCTCCTCGTTAAAGGCGTAGTCGCCCAGGCGCAGGGTGGCCCCGCACCGCCGGCACTGGAAGCAACCACGGTGGAAGAAACGTCCCTCGGCGCTAGCTCGCTCCAGGATGTAGACACGGCAGCCACAGAAGTAGCAGGCATCGCTGTTCTTCCCTGTCCTCTCTCTTGGAGGCTGTGGGGGGAGAGAACAGGCTGGGGTGGCACCAGGGTCCTGGCACCCACCCTGCCTCACGGCTTTGCTGGCAGCCATAGATGTGTGGTGGGGGGTTTTGCCCCTCTTGCAGAGACGGGTCTGGGTGTTCAGGTTGGATTTGCTGGCACCAGTGAGGGAGTGGCAAGTCTTGGCTCTGGAAAACCAGTTGGGTCAGGAAACAAGCAGGGAGGAGCTCGAACTCGTGGGCGTTCGCTTGCGTAGCACTGGTCCCAGCCCTTGGCTTAGCCCTGCCAGCCACTGGTGCCCCCCCCAGTGCCACCTACACAGCTCAACCCCCCATCCCGGGGTGACACAAGGACCAACCTGCTCTGGGTCCAACATGGTGGTTTGCAGCAGCTCATGGGAACTGTCCAGAGTTTCTCCATCCAGCCCCGTGTCCAGCTACAAGCGACCAGAAGAGGAGGGTCAGCCCCCCACTCTCCCCCCAGGAAAGTTGCACCTGAGCAGAGCACTCCTCAGGGTGCCTGGGGCAGACCCACCTCGGGGTTTCTGTGGCTCCTCTTTGCCTCAGCATCCTTCTGGGCACTTTCCTGCAAATGTGAAAGGGGTGTCTAGGATGGGGAGGGGGACAGGGTTTCGGTGTGTCAGGAGGAACTGGGTGGGGGTCCCTTACCTGGGCACGCTTGTGTGTCAGGTTCCGGCTCTTCTGCAGCTTGCTGAGGAAGAGGATGGCCCCTCGCGTGCCGTGGGGAGACAGTGGTTTCTTGCTGACCTCCCTTACCTCTGCACAGAAGGACATGGCCATGTTGGTGGGACGCACCCTACAAGGAGGGGACCACCCAGCCAGACCCAGTGGGGCTCAGGATGGGACAAATTCCTCCAAAATCTCACACCTGGTGAGTTCTTGAAAGCTTCATAGAACTGGCTGAGGTAGGTGATGAGGCCCAGGCGGTCAGGCTCTGACATGGTGGCCATCTCAATGCTGGAGAGGACAGGTTGGATGCCCAGCTCCTGCTCTGCCGTGTCCAGCATCATCTGGTGGATCTGAATGGCATCCTGGGTGTCCACAGAGTCAAAGTCCCTGGGAGGAGACCGGGGTGCCATCAGGGTGGGCTCGGCCAGGGAGGAGGTCCTGAGGGGTCCCAGGCACTCACACTAGGTCAGGGCGGAAGCGGTGGATGAGGGCACAGAGGGCCAAGCCACTAGTCCAGGAGGTGGTGAAGTTGGTCACTGCCACGCCATGGTACCCAGCTGTGCTGGCCTGGCACCAGCTCAGCAGCTCTTCATAGACGTCTCCAGAGGCTGCTGGGGAGGCAGCGTATGTGCCTCCATCCTACAGAGGCAGGGGACACCCCCCCAGGTCTGCCTCCCACCGCAGCATCACTGCTTTAACAGGGAAGGGGTCCGATGGGAGTGACCTGAGACTCCCCCTGCTACCCCCACAACCACCTGCAAGGCTCGATAAATGGGTTCATAAACCATCTGTCAATATTTCATGGCTCAGCATCAGTGCAAGCTAGGAGGGGGGCAGCCTCCTCCCCAGAAGGCAGTGAGGGGGCTGTGTCCCCACATGGGCCATGAGCAGAGAGAAACCAGTGGTGCCACTGAGACAGAAACACAGACAGACATCTGGACGTAGGCCAGGGCACAAGAAACAAGAATGGGGAGGAAAATCAGGGCAGGAGCTACTAGAACATGGGCTGCAGGGAGGAATGGGGGGGCTGCTGTGGGGGGCTGGGGCAGGACTGCCTGCTCCTACCGGTGATGAGCTGGTTGTCACTCTTCCTCTTGTGGTCCACCTCCACTATGCCTGCAAGGTAGAGGTCCTGGACCTGCCAGTGGGGACATGCCCATGGTGGGTCACTACATGCACAGAGCCAATGTCACCATGCAGCTGAGCTGGCCCTGGCAAGGGGGCCACCTGGACCCCTCCACAACTCTCCAGAACCCTCCTGCATCCACAATGGGCAATATATTCAATGCCCTGGGAACTAATAACTTCAGCCTTGCACTCTTTGGGGACAGGGAACCATGCAAATTAGTGTGACCCTGACCTCCAGGGAGGCTGGGCTGGCTGGCTGTCTTGTGGCAGGACCTGGCTGGGTACCTGGTTGGGTTTGATGGCCTGCAGGTTGATGTTGGGGTAGCGTGTGGCTGGGTCGATGCTGTACTGACTGATGTTCTTGTTGGTGTTGTCTGGGGAGGTCTGCGAGAGGTGCTGGTAGATGCTCTCTCTGGGTGCAAGGGACAGGGCTGGGGTCACTGCTACCATCCTTGTCAACTCTAGAACCAGCCCAGTGGGACAGGGACACTCACCTCTCGGCCAGCACCTCCAGTGGAGGGGTCCCAGCTGCCCACCGCCGCACCATCCATGCTGCATCAAAGGCGGCGAGGAATCCCCTTGCCACCCCAGTGCCCAGTGGCCAGAAGGGCTGCAAAGGGAAAGGCAGCTGGGAGGAGGCTGAGAGCTGCTGGGCTTGGCCAGGGATGAAAGCGGGAGCGGCGCTGGACACGCAGAGAGGGGATGTGTTGCTGTCTCCTCCCAGATGGCACAGATGCGTCTGGGGAGGAGTTGGGCACTTCTCCACCCTGAACCAACCCCAAATATCTGGTGGGGCTGGAGAAGGTGATAACCTCACCAAGGCATGCCACTACTGGGATCTGGGGAGCCTGGGATGGGGTGCACTGGGCAGCTGGGACGAGAAGCACTTAGGGAGGGGGAATATATTGCAACCAGTGCACCTTGCAGGAAAAGGCATGAGGTGGTGCTGCAGGGGGGACCCTCACCTCCACCAAGCAGTCGCCCACCAGCCCTAGGAGCAGACGAGCCCCATTGTAATCCCACACCAGTGCCGCATTCTCCGAGCGCGTCATGCAGGTGAAGTCAAACATGTCAACATCCGGCAGGTCCCGGTGATTGAGGGCGAACTCCAGTTCAGGCAAGCGGTAGTTGGTGGAGAAGTTGGCAGCTTCTTTGGCATAGCTGAGGAGGGCATCCCGGTTCACATTCTCTGGAGACAGGAGGCTCTCGATGTCTGCTTTGTCCTGTGGGAATGGGGTGAAGCTGGCTGGAATGTGGGAAGTGGTGTTTGCTTCTCAGCCTGGGAGCACCCAGATCTGGGGTGCAGCTGTGACACTAGGCTCTGATCCCCCTGAAAGGATTTTTCTTGTGGCACAGGCAACAGCTGCCAAAGATCCCACTACTCCAGGGGTATGCAATCAAACCAGCACCCATGATATGCATCCCACCTTCCAGGCTTTCAGTTGCCCATCACTTTGGGATCCCGGGGCCAGACCCTGCCCTTCTCACCTGGAGGATGACTCCCTTCTTGAGCAGGCTCTGCTTCTTGGCCGTCATGACAAAATAGTGAGTGTCATCCTTGTAGTATACAATGTTTTCCAGGTCAATGCCTGGGGATGGGGAAAGGTCTAAGTGAGGGCCACAGGGAGCCCCCGCACTGAGCTCAGCCACCAAATGTCCCCTGTGATGGAGTACTATGTGGGGACATGCATTCCATCACGGGGGACGTCCTGGGGCTGAGCCTCCAGCTGCATCAGGGATGGACAGGGACTCCCAACACACCTGTGCCAGGGCTGGGACCACTGACCTGTTTTGTTGTAGAGGTTCTGGAAGAACTTCTGGTTGTAGATTCGGGCCACACCGCTGATCTCAGCCACCTCCACCTCAGCCCGGCTGTGGCGGTTGATGAAGTTGGTGGTGATGCCGATGGCCAGCTTCCCCCGTGTTTCCTTCCGCTTGAACCCTGCAGGAGGGGAGAGGTGTGAGCCCCCACCCAGTCTCCCTTATTGGTCCCAAGGTTGCAGGGGCCCCTGTTGTCACCTTCAGGGACAAATTTGCCACCGCCAGCTGAGATGAGGACGTCGAACTTGTAGTGGGTGAGGGGAGAGGAACTGGGCTGCACCGCAGCCTGCCAGCCACCTGGAGGGAGGGGGATGGTCATGAGTGTGCTGGTTCTCAGCTGGGACCTGCTCCAGAGAGCAGGGAGAGAGTTGAATCTTTTTCCCCCCAAAAGGCATGCCCCAGGCTAGCAGAGGGACTGGGGAGCTCAGAGTGGCCACCTGCAGCCTTGTTGTTTTCCCCAGGGATACCATCTACCCTGCAGCAATACCATACCTGCCCTGCCTGTGGGGGGAACAAGGCCCTCAAACTTCACATTGATGTGCACTTCCACCCCCAGGAGCAAAGCCACCTTCAGCAGGATCAGCTGGAGCTGCCGGATACCTGGGAGGGGAGAGGGATACTCAGGGCTGCAGTCCCTGGGCTCCCCACAGGAGGGGATACGGGGTTGCAGAGCTTCATCCCTCTAAGACTCACTGATGTGATCCAGCGTGCCGGTGCAGAAGCGCCCATAGAACTTCTTGGCACCCAGTGCCCGTAGATCATGGATGGTGAAGGGCCAGAGGTGCAGGACATTGTTGCGGGAGAAGGAGTCCCGCTTCTCCAGCAGCACCACACGGGCACCCAGCAGTGCCAGCTCGATGGCCGCCCGCAGCCCGCAGGGGCCGGCTCCCACCACCAGGCACTGCCACAGGATGGGATGGGCGGCGTGAAGGGGGCAGGCAGTGTCCAGAGCAGGGGTTTCGGTGAACTCCCAGGGAGTTCAGCAATCCCACAGGCAGCATGTCCCTGCTCCCCAGGTCAAGATCTGGCCCTCCCCATTATTCACCTGCAAGCTGTGGTTCTCCCTGCAAACAAGGGGACCCTGTGAGGTGCCCCACACCACTCCCTGAACCTTGCCTTTGCCCAGGGCAATGGCAGCAATTAAAGCACTGGGTGAGATAAGGCTGCAGATCTGCTGCAGCCCTGGCACCAGTTTGGTGTCCTGGCAGCCTCTGCACAGGGCTGGGGGATGATGGAGCAGAGCAGTGGGGACAAAAGCCATCAGCTGTAGGACAGGGGAACCCCAGCCCCAGGGGTACATCCTACTGTAGCATGCTCCTGTCTCCCAGAAAGGGTTTGTCAGGTCCCTCTGCCCCTTTGCAGCCCTCCTATGGGACATCCCCAGCAAAGAGCAGCTGGGAGGAAGAAGGACGCTGCTGGCTGGGTGGCATCGAGGTGGCATCACACCGTGCAAAGCGGAGCAGTGCTAATTAACATTCTGTCGCATTAAACCCCATCAACCTTCTGCCTGGCATATCCTGCATCCCTCTGGGGTGAGGGGTAGAGTGCCCCAGGGGATGCTCTCCCCCTGGGAACAAGGATACAGAGCAGGACCCAAGCCCCTCACCCCATATCCTCGGTACCTTGGTGCTGGCACAGGCCTTGCCCTGGTCGTAGACCTTGTGCCCAGCTTTCTTATCCAGCTTGCTCCACAGCGCCTTGGCACTCCAGTAGTTGAGGGCAGCCTTGAGGCTGTGGTAGAGCTGCAGCCCACTGCCCTGCAGCCCCAGCTGCTGGCACAGCTCCCCAAAGCAGCCCAGCACCTCCTGGCATTCCCCTGCACGCAGGAATCTTTCAAAGATGGCATGGGCTGGGTTGCCCGGCTCATCAGCTGGCACGCTCATCCCACGTCACCCAAAAGCCTGGTGAGGAACAGCAGAGATCAGCAGGGAGGGGACCCTCCTAGACCCCATCCCCAAACCCACTCAATACCAGACCTGGTGTCTCAGCACTAAGTTTCCCAGCTGCGGGTGCTCTTGGGTGATGGCACTATCAAAATTTCTTGCAGCAGCTGGCGGAACCTCCCCCGGATGCTGTACCAAGAGAGCCACAGTGTCACCCTGCCACGGTGACGTCAGGGGAGGGGATGGGGAGGGCTGTGGTGGCAGTAAGTGGCTTCCTCCATAGGGCGTGTACCTGCAGCAGCTGTGAGCAGAGCAAGCTGTTTTGGAGCAAAGACACCACTTCCTTCCTCTTCACCCTTGGTCTTTCTGGGGGGCTGGGAAGAGGCTCCTGGCTTTAGGAACCAACCACACCTGCCCTCAAACCCAGCAAGACCAGCCCTGGAACAGGAGGAAGCAGGATTAGATCCATCCTGCCAGCCTGGCTTCAGCAACTGGAGTGAGGAGACTTTCTCCCTCACCTCGCCTCCACCTCTGCCACTCCCAGAGGAGGTGGAAGCAGATTAGCATAGAGGAAGCACCGGTGAGGAAACAAAAATGTCAAACCACCATATGAACAGCCCCATAATGCCAAGGAACCCATGGGAAGGGCGGTGCAGCACATTTCCCCTGGGCACACCAAAACCCCCTGCCCCTGGCATGTCCCAGGAGACCTTACAGCACTCCTTACATCTGTCTCCCACTCTCAGCACTGTCCCCCCGCAGCACCAGCCTGTGCCACCCTCTGTCTTGCCAGCCCAAGCATGAAGAACAAAGCTTTGCAATTTCCAGCCACTATCGCCAAGCCCCAGGGCTATGAAAGGCAGAGACGTGCTGAGGAGGATCCGGTGGAAAGGAGTGCTCCTACCTTTGAACCACTGCTCTTTGCCCTCTTGTCACTCAGTGTTACCTTGGGCACTTGGCGACACCCCAAAGGTGGCACCTTCAGGATGCAGCCAGCTCTGCAGTGGGATGCTGGAGTGGGAAGGACGCCGTGACTGAGCCAAGCTGCCCTGGGGTGGAGGGAGGCACGGAGACAGGGAAAATAACTTGTTTAAGCCTGGGCTTAAATTTGGGCTGGAAAGATTGAATTCTAGCCGCGTTTCAAGTTTGGTCTCACCCAGGAGTTTCCCAACACCAGAACTATGCTTTGCAAAGCAATTCTGCAGGTCACCTTCCCTCCCAGCATCAGAGTCAAGAAATCCAGGCATTTTAACCTCTTCCTTCCTAGGCACACATAGGATAAACCATCCAGCCAAGCAGAGCAGGAGCTGACACCCACCAGACTCCGGAGTGGCAGCGTGAGGACAGAGGACATGACCTATGCATTCGTGACAGGACTGTAAGACCTGGGGACAGCTTTCTGTTCTTCCCCTCAGCGCTGCTAGCGGGACAGAATGAATCTGGAAAAATCGAGGCAGCACTACAAACCTCGCTGGAGAGTGCAGGCGTGCTGTCCCACCAGCCACCCGTTCTCCTGCCATGGAGGCTGCCCAGGCAGCACTTCCTGGCCAGGCACCAGTGGCCCATGCGGACGGGTTTCCTCCCAGGAGCTCATGTTACTGCACTGGCGCCTGCTAAGGTCACCATGCAGCAGTCCCAGGGAGATGGGGCAAAGGCAGCTGCTCAGGCTGGGAGTATCTCCTCCAGCCTCAGCAGTTCCTGGCTCTGAAATAAGCCCATCTCAAGGCCTCTATTCCCACTGGAGGACATGATGCCGGGAGGAGCATGCTGCCCAGGAAAGCTTTCCAGCCCCTACGCTTTGGCAGGGAGGCTCAGAGGAGGCAGAAAAACAAGCCTTGTGTTACACCATTTCCTGCAGAAACAATGATCATACCAGCACTTTGGCACACTCAAACCCCTTTGACAACTGCAAGCAAGGACAGAAACTCCTGGAAAAACTCAGTTCCTGCAGGTTTGATGCAAATAAACAGCTTTCAGCCCACAAAGGCCAGTGGCAACAGAGAAGGGCACAGTGCTGCTCCAGGCTGCCTCTGGCTCTGCTCTCCTCCTCAATACCTTTTGCATTTCTTCCCCTAACACTGCTGCTGCAAGCAGAGGGAGGAGCAGGGGTTGCAGCCAGCCCTGACTCAGCTCATATCAGCTCTGGTTGGGGTGGCTGCAGACATGCCTATGGGAACACCATCCAGGTCTGACACATGTGGAGCATCCCTGGAGCAGGGACATCCCATCCCACTTTGCAAGTTGGGATCTTCCCCTTGCCCTTGCATGGAGAGAAGCAGCCTTTTGGGGGATGGTGTGGGGAGCTGCCCTGGAACTCACGTGTCTTCCAGGCACATAGAAATGGGGTGGGAAAGGATGCTGCGGCTCCATGCAGAGCTAATGAAAGCTGGAAGAATTTCCAGCAGCAGCAGATCCCCTTGCCTTGCTGCTGCTCTGGCTCACAGCATGGACAGGCTGTTCTGGGTTTGAGGTCCAGCCTGGAGACCCCCAGGCCAGGCTGCTGAGCTGGACTGGGCTACATGAAAGCCCTTCCAGCAACAGGTCAGAGGGTAAGATGGAGGTTTTCTTGTGATCATTTAACAGCTTGCCCAAAGCCCTTGCTTGCCACAGCCAGTCAAGCCAGGAAGGTGTCAAGAATAGGTGAAGGCACTGGATGATTTTACCAGTGCTATTGTACTCAGGAGAAACATTCCTGGTGTGGGACTGGGCAGAGAGACCACCCTGACCAACCTTGCAGAAACCTGCCTTGATTTGGGTGGGTTTTAATCCTTGGAGGGAGGGGAAAATCCCTGTGAGCTCCTCTGGTTTGAGGTGGGGATGTGGGTACAGGAGAACACAACAGCTGAGGCCCCCTTTGCAAGGCCCCAGCATGGAGCTATGGGGAGGAGGGCTGAGGAGAGGTGACAAAGATGCGGTGGCATGTTTGCAGCATTGCCCAGGGCTGAGGCTGACAGCTGCAGAGACCCAGTGTCACAATGGAGGGGGCTCACTTTCACAGGTACGTAACTCCCACTGGAAAGCTCATGCCAAAATCCCCCTTCGGAGGTGCAGGACCCAGCCTCGGCTCCTGTGCTGCCATCAGCAGAAGTGGGCATTTCTCCGGGACATTTTGGCATTGCCCTTTGCAAGGGATCTACAAGCCACAGCCTGACAATGTCCCAGGGAGCTCTGGGCAGAGACAACACTTGGAGAGGAGCAAACCTGCCCCCCCTATTTTTACAGATCAGCCTGGCCTCTCCCGCTCAGCACCAGCCCCACCGAGGGAGCTGCCTCTTGCAGATGAATTTCGGCACAAAGGGGAAGTCTGCTTACAGCCAGGCTTCACACACCACATCCTTTTCCTCCTCCTGCTTCTCCCTCACCCCAAAGCACAGTCGTCCCCGTGAGGATGCCATGGAGCATCCCTCCATAGATCTCAGCAAAGTTCTTCCCACCCTATCCTACTCGGCACTGGGAGCACTAGTGCTTCTGGGAATGGAGTGGAGGTGGATGAGCGGAGACTACTGTCTTTTCCCATTGTCCCGGGAACAGCAGAACTCGGGCTGGAGGGGAAGAGTAGTGACAGTGAGCCGAGGGAACCCCATTGCCCCCGGGAGAGGATGCGGGGAGGGGGCAGGCGGAGACAAAGCGCTTCCTTGCCATGGAGCATCCCCGTTCGACATCCCAGGGTCACGCAGGACACGGGCTCGGGGGGGGCTGAACCCCTCGGTTTTCGCACCCGCCTTGCGCAGCGATGCTCTCAGCAGGACGGGCGGAGGGGACTGGCCGTCAGGATGCTGGCACCACCGTGTCCGCATCCGAGCGGGGGGACACAGGGCTGGGGTGGCAGCAGAGCCCTGACCCCCCCACCGCCAAGGGATGTTCTGCCCCTTCCCACCCCCAACTCACCTCCACAGCCCCTTGGAGGGGGAAACTGAGGCGCGGACCGGGGAATGGGGAGGGACCGGAGCTGCGTGCAGCCAGGCGAGGGCGAGCAGGAAACGAGCTCCGGCTCCCCAAGCAGCTGCCGGCCAGCCCGGCCCTGCCCTCCCCTCCTCTGCCCTCCCCTTCTCGGCCTTCCCCTCCTCTCGCCTGCCCGACCCTCCCCCGCGGCCGGGGGGCGGCCCCCAGGCCTCCGCGTTGTGCCGGTGCGGATGTTGCGGCGGGAGGTTTGGAGCTGCGGGACGAGCGGCACAGCACGACTCCGGCTGTTTTTTGAATTCTGGGGTGAGAAACAGACTTTTCGCAAAGCAGACCAAAAGATTCGGGTGATGAAGCCAAACCGCTTCACGTCCCGCCCCCGCCACTATGCTGCTCCCCCCGCAGCCATAAACTGGCCAGGAGGGAGCCCGAGGCACGGGGGAACCCGGGCGCGGGGGGTCCGGCCGGGTGGCCCTCACGGCAAAGGAGCTCGCGGCCCGTGACGCACGGGGAGAACCTGCCACGAGGCTGTGGATGGTGACTCAGGGACACTGTGTGGGTTACGTAGGTCACCATGAGTCACTCGTGGCACTGCTGGCAGCTACGGCAGGCAGGATGACCCCTCCATCCCTCCCTCCTGCAGCGCCCTCGGGCTTTTTCCTGGGGCTCCTGGGGCTCCTGGTGCAGAACCCCCTGCCGTGACCCCGCACAGCTTGACTGGGCTGTTTCGGGCCCACCAAGTTGCTGGGTGCGGGCACAGTGAAGTCCACCCGTGTTTCAGGGCTGCTTGGAGACATAAACGGGGCATCTGAGTCAAACCAGGCCATTTTCCTATGCAGCAGAGTGGTCGGAAATGGCTCTCTATGAGCATTTTGTGATGCCATGGGAAAGGCTGAACAGGGACCTGCTCCTTCCAGCCCCAGCATTATCCCCCAGGCAACAGCAAATGAGCATTAGATCTGAATCACAGCAGGGACCAAGGGCGTGCGGTGGCAGAGGGCACATGGCCAGCACCGTGGGACACGGCTCTACTGCATATCCATGGCTGTGGGCAGCCCAGTCTGTCCCCAGCAGAGGGGATGTGTGGGGGCACACCTGCATCCCTCAATGTCCTGAGAACAGGCAAACTCACAGCATCAGTGAGGACTGCTGCGGCTTCCTGAACCCTTTATGCTTATATGGAGGTGCAAACCATACCTTAGATCCTACCACAGGATGTCAGGATGTTCCACCTGCTCCAGCATTACAATTCCCCCACTTTTCCTCTAATTTTATTATTCTAGAGTTTTGGTGATTTATGACATGGGGAACGAGCAGTGATGCCTCCTAGCTGCCTTCCCCTCCCCGGTCCAGCTAGGCCTTGGGTGATGCTGCAGACTGCAGCCGCTGCAGCTCTAGGACACGGATGAGGAGGAGGAAGGCGATGCTCAGGAGAAGCAGCCAGAAGAAAACCCAGTAGTGCTGCGGGAAGAAGAGCCATGGCCGCCACAGCTCCATTGCGGATCCCTTGGACCTGGAGAGAAGGCAACAGGAGACACTCGTCATCCGCGGGAGAGAGCAAATCCCACCTCCACCCCAGCTGGGGACAGGGAAGGGTGTTCAACACAGTCCCAGACCTCAGTGGCCCTTCTACAAACCAAAATGCAGCAGACCGGCAATGCATGGGCAAAACTGAGGCACAGCAAGGTCTGGCTGAGGCAGCCAAACAACATCCTGGCCCTCTACCACTAAATCCCCCAGCCTGCTTCCCAAGTGCTGGCCACCTGGGGACCGCAGAGAGTTCAGCAGCCCTAGGGGAATGCTGGGCACACACAGTACTGCTCACGTCAGCCCAAGCTGCTCTGGCTCCTCATCCGCTGCCCTTGAGTCTCGGCCATCTGCCTCAGCCACCAGCTCCCCAGTCATGGCGCTGCCCTGGCCCTGTGGCTCCAGCTCACTCCTGGGGAGGGAGAGGACAGGGTTTGTGCCATCCTGTATGGGCCAACAGCAGCCAGTACCATGGCTGCCCTGCCACCCAATGCCCTGCCACCAGTTACCTCTGGGTTCTGGGCCAGCGCTGGGCCCCCTCTGGCTCCGGCTCACCTGCCAGCGCTGCTCGGCTGTCGGGGCTGGCACCTGGCTGGGCACCAAAAGTGGAAGCATCAGTGGGGGACTCAGACCCCCAGTAGTACTGAGCCTGGGGACACATGCCCAACAGCGAGGCACAGTTCTGTGTGTCCCCCTGCATATGTCCTTACCAGGAGCTGCTTGGGGATGACAGCGATGCTGACTCTGCGGCGGGCAGACCCCTGCAACAGAGGGGCTGGGGGTGAACATCGCACCAGCTGCTTCTCATCACCTCCTTCCCTATCACCTCCCCAGCACAGGCAAGGGACACTGAGGAGAAGGGTCACTGCCAGCTCCCACTGGTCCTGGCACTAAGACGGGAAACCAGGGAGATGAAGGAAGTAAAAGCCAAGGGGTTTGCACCTGTCATTACTGCTTCAAGCTGTGCTGGTGGGGCTGCCTAACCCCCTCCCTGAGCACTCCCCTACCTCTTGAGCTGTAGGGGAATCAGTGCTGAATTCAAGCTGGTGCTAGAGAACAGCCAAGCCTGTGGTTCTTGAGCTATGACCCTGCAATGCAGAGGGGTTTGCCTGAGATCTCCTGGACAAGCAGCCCTGGGAACCCTGTCTGTCTCCCCACAGTGCTTTGAGGCTGCCCCTACATTTTGCCTTATCCCCAGCACTTCTAGCACATCTTCCCTGCAGGAAGCAGTGGGCCAGAGTGACATTGCCTGGGGACTACGGGGTGCATGGGGACAGCCAGCCAAGGGAGAACAGCAGGGCATGGGGAGGCAGTGGCTCTAAGATGGCTGAACTGAACCCAGTTACCTGCTGGAAAGTTCGCTTCAGGGGGTGAGGCCTCAGCCGTGGCTCTGCATGATCTGGGAGCAAAGAGAAACCACCTTATATCATCCCCCAACACTAAGATGGGGCTGATGTCCAGGTGGTTGCAAACCTCCCTCTCATCAAAGCTGTCCTAACCATGTGCTCTCTGCGTGGCAGGGGTGCCCTGGCCAGAGGAACCTGTTTGCATGCACAGCAAAGGCACATATGAGGCTTGGTGTCCACGGACAGAGAGTTCTTTGTGTGCACGGGGCCCCCCTGCCGTGCATTCCCAGCTGGGCTATGGGGGGATGGCTCTCCAGCCACCAGCAGCTGCTCCCTCGCTGAGTCTGCTGTTACACTGGCCCCTTGCATCTGTCATCAGGTCCCTGCTGTTCCCCACCACTTTTCCTCAGCTTGCACAACCCACTGGCCCTGTGGTGCAGAGTCACACTGGTCCCCCCCAGAGGGGTGTGGGACCAAGTCCTTGCAGGCCCCACATGGGCCCCAGCAGCAGAGCCCACCTCACCCTGGGTCTCTGCCAGCTGCCGGTTGCGGGAGTTTTGCTGGATCAGGCGTTTCATCTCCTCCAGCTCCGCGTGCTCCCGCATGTGGTGCCGCTTCAGGTTCTCCACGTGCTGGACCATCACCTCTGCTGCTCGGCTCATCCGGGCCTCCTGCAGCCAGGCCGTATGGGGGATTAAGGCCCCCATCCCCTGGTTCCTAAGAAGCCAGGTCTCTGCCAGTCCCTCCCTGTGCATCCCATAGTGCCTCCACCCAGGGAGTGCAGATACATCCCCTTCCTGCTCCCAAGGACAGGCAGATCCCTTGCAGCCTGGTACATGCAAACATGAGATCAAGGCCAGCACCACAAGGAGGAGGGACAAACCCCAGCAAGCCCAGGGATGAATCCCCAAGCCCAGCTATAGCACCCTCCATCGCTCCCAGCCCTGGCAGGGAGCCCCAGTTTTGCACAGACCTGGTGTACAGCCCCCAGCTTCTCCGCAGCGCTGGTTGCCCGCTCGACAGCTGCCGACAGCACAGCCAGGTTGTGCTGCAGCTGCTCCAGCATCTCTTTGCAGCCCACATTGGCACAGGATGGACCTAGCCTCTGTGGGGGGAGAGAATGGAGCTGCTGGAGCTGGGACTTTTGAGATGTCCAAACCCTTCCTGGGCTGGATGTCCCCAGCACATGCCAGCTCCCTGCCCTTGTGCCCACTTACCTCTAGGGCAGCCCGGCACTGCCCCAGCTCCTCCTGGATGTTTTCCTCTGCTGCATCCCGTGCCCGTTTCTCCACCTGTACTCGTTGCTGCAGGGTGAACATGTCACAGCGAAAAGCCAGCGCGAGGTGGGCAAAGGCTGCCTGCAAAATGGGGGGTGAGAGATGGGACAGGGGACAGAAAGGAAGCCACCAGGACCATTGCTGCTGTCTTCAAGGCACAGACAGACCTTGCAGTGTGCCACTAAACAGGGCAGTGCTAAAGACATTTAGCACTTGCCTTTCCCCAGCACCAGTTAGGCTGCTGCATGCTGGGGACAGTCCCTTGAAATGCCAGCCTGAGGAGACACGTCTCCCAGGCAGCCAATAACGCATGGAAATCCCAAGCCCTCCTGGCAAGAGCATGCACTGGGCAGACACCAGCCCTTGCTGTGGGTCCTGGCTGATGGTGGAGCCTGACTCAGCCCTGGCACTCAGAGGGAAATTATTTTTATTAGCGTGGCTCCTGCCACCTCCCTGGCTAAGGGCGCTCTTCCACCAGCTGCAGAGCACTTTGTAGGATTGCTGGGTGCTCAGAGGACAAACTCATCTTGCCATGGAAATGCAGCTGCCTCCAAATGCCAAAAGCATTGCTGGGAAAGGGTTTATAAGGTGTTTGCCAGTGGACTGCAGTGCCTGAAAGGTGTCCAGGAGCAGCACAGCCAAGGGACTGTGAGCCATCAAGGTGTCCATCCCTGTGTCCCCCTTCCCCAGCCCACCCACAGCCCCTGGCAGCCCTCACCTCCAGATCCTGCTCTGTCAAAGCCACCCTGTAGAAAAAGAAGTGCTGTCAGGGATGGAGGCATCATGGGGGCTGCATGCTGAAAATGCCCTTGTTCTGCCCCCTGGGGTGTCAGCCACCACCAGAAGTGGGAAGCCAAGTGCCCACTGCCTGGACAGCAACTTTTGTGCAATGATAAAGGAGGAAAGTCCAATCGCTGGACCATGTGGTACCCTGGGAATCCCCCTGTCCCGTAGCCCCTGGAGAGATGCAGGTGCTCACTGGTCTTACCTGTTCAAGCCTAATCTGTCCAGCGCCAAGAGCTCTCTGGGGAAACTCAGCACTGGCTCCTCCAGGGTTTCTGCATCTGCAGGGAGGCAGTGACACCATGATAGACCACACATGAGGGCTTTTCCTCAGCCTTCCCTCCTCCCTCTGCCTGTCTGTCCTGGCAGGGAGCAGATGCCCCTAGTGTGGAAACATCCCAATCCTTCCCCAACATCAGGGGGGCTTCAGGTTCCCCCAGGCCAGTCTCCCCTTCCCCATGTACCCACCAAGTGAGATGACCCCCATCCGAACATGTTGTTCTCAGACTCATCCACAGCTACTTCAAACCTTCCTCTAAAGGGACCCAGCTGGGATGTGGGATGGGGATTCACCCACCTTCTTCAGTCCTGTCACTGTCTCCAGTGTGAGCAGCCTGCTCCTGCCTATCCCTGCCTGGAACCTGGGAGGCACAAGGGTGGTGTTAGAACAAACCTCTCCTGGTGCTGCATGAGATCCCAAAAAGACCAGCACCAAGAGGCTGAGCCCAAGGGACTAGGGAGGGAAGGGCCCCCCCCACCTGTTACCCTCCCTCTCACCTCACTGACATGCTCCACACTCTGTTGGCTCCCAGCCAAAACCCTGTCTGGGTGCCTCTGGGGACTGCTCATCTTGTCTGGGGACAGAAAGGGTAGTGGGAGCAGGGCAGCAGGGTCCCCTTCCCAGCCTGACACCACTTCAGAGGAGACCACTGAAAACACCACTAGCATTTTGGCAGCCCGCAGGCTCACAGGGGACATGAGCTGGCAGGTGCCCTGCAAAATATCCCTGTGAGATAAAGGGAGCTGCTGCTAGGCAGGGAGGAAGGCAAGGTGCAGAGGGTGGGTTACAGCTGATGAGGCAGATCCAGGGGACAGGGTTGGGGTCCCAGGGCTGGAAGGGGTTGCAGGCAAGTGCTGCCTGGCCAGGGGACACCCTCCTGCTGCTCAGGAAGGGAGGGTGCAAAACCCATCATTTTGCCCCCATCCCCACCCTGGGCTGCCCTTACCTTCATCTGGAGACGTGAGGAGCCCGTACAGCTCTGCCTGCTGCTCCCTGTGGAAAGAAGCCTGGGTAAACCCTAAAGAAACTCAGAAAGCATCGGCAACATCCCGCCCTCCCCGCCCCCCGCCCTCCTCCCACTGCCACAGCACCCTTCGATGTTGCTGTGCGGGACCTGGGTCCCTTCCGAGCATCCTCCACAGCCTGCTCCGTCCCGGTCCCCGCTCTCCCTGACGCGGGTGCAGCAACCCCCTCCACTCCTGCTGCTGCTGCAGAGCCGCCACCGAGGAGCCTGCTGAGGCCGTTTCCAGCCAGCAATGAGTCACCGGCCCGCGGCCGTGCTTTTCCTCAGAACTGTCTTTTTTTTTTTTCTCCCTGGCTGCCAAGGGGACCTCACTGCGAGCTGGCCTCTTCCAGCACCACAACAAACCCGGCTGCCGACAGAGCCCAGACACAATCTCACATCACCCCCCAGGGATGGCAAGTCTGGGTGCATGCTTTCGCCCCCCTAAAAGTGCACTGGGATGGCCTCATCACTCCAAAACCCTGCCCTGGGTGCAAGAAAGTCTGGCAGCTCTGTAGCATCCCTGCTCACAGGGGCCAGGGATGCTGGAGCCCACCAAGGATGGCAGGTCACCAGTGCACGGAGATACAAGGGCTGATGTGCAAAGAGCCCTCTGTGGCACCATGCTGGATCCCAGCACACAACGTGGAAAGGGTTTGAGCCCCCAGACTTTGCCCCTGGCTCTGGAAAAGGCTATGGCAGGGCTTTTCCCTGACCTCCTGGCAAGCCTGGGGGCCACATCCTGAGAGCACTGGTTGCAGAAGAAGGGGCCACCATGCCAAAATGATGCTCAGTGTTGCTTGCCTGGCACTGCCATCCCATCCTTGCCAGCACCCAAGAACCACAGGGTGAACCTTTTGTGCACATACCTCTGGGGTGAGGGGCTGGGTCGGCAGCTCATTCTCTGCCGCTGGCGCCGCTGGCGTCCCTGGGTGAGTCCCTGCACCTCCTCTTCCCCCTCTCCCAACAAGGTCCCTGTGAGTGGCTTCATTTCTGGAGCACACAGGCTCCAGGACCAGCACACCTATCATGAGAGACATACAGTAGCTGTGCACAGATGGAGAATGCCTCTAAATGTTATATTTTTAAAGCATTTTCTCACCCAGTAGGAGCTCTAAGCACAGTAGGGAGGCCCACTGTGATTCAGAAGGAGGTTGGTGGGATTCAGATGGGCATGGAGCAAGGCAAATGAGGAATGTAATACAAGCCCCATTTGTGGGCAGCGCCAAGGGTGGACTTTTGCCTGGGGCTTGTGATGTGGGTCATCTCTGTGGGGGGAGGTAACTTTGCACTCACCAACCAGTGTGAGCACCCAGTGCAGAGACCAACCCACTGTCCCCCAGGCTGCAGACAGAGCAATCCCCAACAACCCTCCTGCAACACTGGTTCCCAGAGAGACTAATATGAAAGATTTCCGAGTCCAAGGGAGCTTGGGCAACTCATTTAAGCTGTTTAACAATATTTAAAGAATTAGAGAAAGATGCAGAAAGTCCACAGTCCCTCTCCCAGCCCAGGGTAAAGTCACTGTGCAGAACTGTCCCACAGGACACATCTCCTCAGAGGTTGTTCCCACAAACATGCAGATATGGGGCAGGAGAAATTTTTTGGCCAGGACACGAAATACAGCAGAGGTCTAAGGGGATAGAGAGTGGGGACTGCTTGAAGCCCCACATACCTGTGCAAAGCCTTGCCAAGCTCAGTCTAGGTCAGCCCAGCACCAAACAGGGCCATCACCCAACTCCCAGACCCTGATGACGGCATAAAAGCAAGCAGCACTTTCATCTGTCAAGGTCAGCCCATTTCATGCCCATACACTGGGAATTGTCGTCGACACCTTCAACCACCCAGGGGCTCAGGAGCCCCCAGCCACCAGGGATCAGCCAAACTCATCACACTAGTAAGCATCAGAGTCCTCTGGAGGCCTGGTCCCTGCTGCAAAGCGCTTGCTCCATCACAGCCACGGCAGACCCTGCAGCCTGCTGTTTTACTACAGCTCTGACAGCCTCACAGACATTCCTTATCTTTGTTTTACGGATGGAAATACAAAGGCACACAGCTGGTTTGGCATATGTAACCCCCTGGAGAACCAAACCGAGTGCTTTCCCTTAGCTTGGCATCTTTACCAGACGCTCCCCGGGTCATTACCTGCCTGAACTCGTCTCAAGCAGCCGAAGGCAGATGCTGGGGCCACCCAGCTCAGACCCAGCACTCAGCGCTGTTGGGCCCCAGTCAGACCCAGGAGGGGGTCTGGGGACGCGGCGTGACCGGCAGATGGTGGGTCGGGGGGTGCTGGAGCCCCACACGGTGCAAGCTGCCAGCAGCAGAGCCTCCTCGGAGGGGAGAGCAACCGCATCTGCAGCAGAAGGAGCTGCCAGGGACAAGCCAGATGAGAGAAGGCCTTTAAAGGAGATGCACAAGAGCAGCTGGGAGCTCCCTGTGCCGGCTGGGGCGGGTAGAGTGGGCTGCAGGTGGTCAGGCGACCTCTGCTTTTGGTGAAAAGCCAGTTTCTGCACCCACTCTCAGGAGGTGACAGAGCTGGAAAAAACTACGACTGCTCCCTCTGTGCTGGCTGTCTGTAGAGCAGAGTAGTCCTGAGTAGGAGGCTCAGGGCAGGGTGGTGGCACTCAGGACCTCCACAGAGATGGGGGATCCCCCCCATGCTTTCATGGGGGCTCAACACCAGGCTAAACCAGGATGGCTGATAAGGAACTCCTGTAGCATTGTATTTGGTGATGCAGGGAAGCCATTCTGTCCAAGCCCCCTACTCCTCCTGCCCCTCTCAACAGCCCTACTTTCCCACCAGCCATCACCTTACTGCCCCTTCCCCTGCCCAATCACTTTACTCAAATCCATCACATCCTCTAAATCAGCTTTCTTGCCCTAATGAGCTTACACAGAGTCAGACTCGATGCTCAGCACTACCAGGCTAAGCAGGCAACTGCTGTTGCCCCCCCCCTTCGTGCCCAAGGGACCCTGATGTACCCCAAGGAACAATGCAGCCCTTCGGATCTGCAAACCTCCTAAGCCTTGAGAGGGCAAACAGCATCTCCCAGCCCCGGGGCAGACCTGGCCCAGCCTCTGCCCTGCCTGCCAGAGCAAGGGGCCGGGGTGTGGCCCCAGGGCTAGAGGTCACAAAACAAGGGGGGTGGAGGACACTTTTGCACACATCCCCAGCTTCGTCCCCGGGAGCAGCCTGGCACCAGGCAGCAGATCAGGCTCTGTGGTCTCTGCTCCAATGTCCTGCAGGTCCACAGCTACAGCAAGGTGCTCCAATAGGGACACAGATCTAAGGACACCATCACACTGACTCCCCTATTCCCTCCCACACTCTGGGGAGGGTTAATAAGAGGCAGTGCCCCTCTTTGCAAACCATCCCATTCAAAGAGCCTCTAAAGGCATTTACTAAAAGTACCCATGGATTTTTATCGATTCTTATTTTTAGCCTCAGAGCATCTAAATCGTGATTACAATCCAGGTATCATAGAGCCTCAAACAAGAAAAAGCAGCCCAGCTCCCCTCACACAGACCTGTTCAGTGGGAATGAGCAAGACCCTGCTGGGAGTTCTCCAGCCCGGGCAGGTGAGCACGTGGCTGTGGGATCTGGCTTTGCCCCCTATTCTCCTTCCAGCGAGGTCCCTCCGGTGATGCAGCAGCTACTGCGACAGCATCTTCCAGGGCTCCTGCCGAAGCTGAGCTGAGCTCGCAGCTCAGATCACAGAGACTCTGGTCATCTGGATTATCCACTTCTTGGAAGAAAGCTGCTCAGACCGACACTGGCTGCTACTGCTGATGTAGCAAGCGTGATTTATTAGGTCTGTGCAGGGGCCCAACAGTATAACAACAGCACAGTCCTACCACAAAGTCACCTTTCTGGGGCCCTGGCTCCTCAGCCAACAGGCACCTGGCAGCCACCAGACTACCCAAGGGAGAACATGGTTCTCTTCCTATGATAAAAAGTGGTTGGCAAAACAACAGATGAGAAGGAAAAATGTTCTTTTTATTCAGTTTTAAATTCTAAGTTAAAAAAAAATATTGCTGAGCCTTCCCCAGAGCACTTCAGTCTCACATCTGGGTGTCACAGCTCCCAAGTTTCCATGCAAAGCAGCATCAGCATGTTGGGGATTACACACAGGCATTAACAGGCTGTCACTGGACACGCAGTTACCTCCAGGGAGAAGCAGGGTGACTATCAGCCCTCGACACTGCTGCAAGAGGGTAACACAGCAACTACCTGGACATGCCTGCAGCTCCTGCTTGGAGAGGGGTAGCCCCTTGGGAATGGATATGGACCATTTTCAGGAGAGCCACTGAGTTTCAGCCCTTTCCAACAAGGTGCTGCATGGCCCAAGGCTTCTCCAGGGCTCTGATGTCTGGTGTTTAACATCTGTGGATGCAGTATTTGCACACATACCTCTGCCCATCCCAAGGAGGTTCTCTGCTGCCTAATCACAGCACCACGATAGCACTTGGGGAGCAGAGAGATCATCTTGTCATGCAACTGGTTCAAAAATCACTGTGGAGGATGTGGAGGCAGCATAGTGGACAGATAACCCATGTAATGGTATATTATGAATTTCCTTTAAAAAAACCGAAGAGCTGTTAGGCCAAAAAGGGAATTCCCCACTGTACTATGAAGGAGGTAAATCTCTACAGAAGAGGAAACAATCTCTTCACCAATACTGCTATTAAATCAGGACAAGGGCAAAGCCAGTCCTGGTGCTCCCTCCACCCTTGGCTAAGGTTCTGCTGAACTATAAAACCAGACAGATGTTTTATGCTGCATCCATCTCTTTGCACTGTTTAGGATGGATTTTTAAGTTCTTGAGAGGGTCAAGAGGAGTCAAAAGTAAAGTTTTCTGTGTGGGTGCTACCAACCACCCCACAAAGAAGCAGTCTATCACCAGCATGTTTAGTGTCTCTGGGGTTTGCTCCAAATTCTCCTTACACAACTGTTATCTGCACGTACACCCCAGAGGAATCCACAGCACATGACAAGCTGCAGCCAAGAGCAAAACCAGGGCTAAGAAGGCTCTGTCCACAAGCCAGAGTAATGCTTCCCAGCAGAACAGGAATCCCCCTTGCAGTTTGCAAAGCTGATCCCTTCCCGACTACCATTTCTTGCAAAACCCACATAAGCTGGCCCAAAGCACAGCTCCTGGTGTGTCCTGACGAGTTGGAGGCACAAGCTGCAATGCAGCAGTAGCAGCCAGGAACTGTCACAATGAGCCCACTGCCTAAAGACAACACTGAGGAGTTACAAAAACAGACACCCCTTGGTGAGCAGCCATGCACCATGGCCGGAAAATTTCCAACCCTTTATCACTGTCCAGTCCACAGAGACGCCGAGGCTTCCCCATGGAGCTCCAGGTACACATAGCATGTACATCCTCAGCAACGACACCATGAAGCTGATTGACATGAATTTTAGAGATCAGTTTGTCCTCGGTCATCTTCACATGACCGACAGCCACGACCAGATGGAGCAGTGAGGACAATGACACTGAGGTCACTTGGTAGAAGCTCTGCAGGGAAACTGCAAAGACCAGAGCCTGCTACCTAATAAAGACAGAACAGCAGTCTCAGACCTTGATGATCATGGCACAATTTCTATTTATGTCGTATTTTGGGCAGCCCTACAATAGCTTCACTATACTGAGCCACTAACTCAGTGGAATGCAAACACAGCAACAATCCAGCTCCCTGGAGGTTTCTGTCCCCCAGCTAATGCAGACTTTGAAGCCTCTTCAGTCCACAGTTACCTAAAATAGCTTAAGAGATTCTTATATAAAGAAATCTGTGCTCTCAGCCTTAAGAGCATCACCTAATGCTTCATAGTTTCCTTCCTCTTGCTGGATCTAAATGAGCAAACTTGAAGCAGTCACATGGCACACCTACATGTTTTAACTCCCTTTCTCTTTTTGTAAGTGTAAATGTTTATGGATTTTTAAATAGCTCCAAAAGTATGCAATGTTTCTAACCTTCATTAAAACCCCAGCAGGATCTCTCTGAGTCCATCCACTCTCTCCCATCCTTTTCCTCCCAGCTCTCAGAGGAAGTGCCTAATAGAGGTTTCCAGCAGGTATTTTCAAGGATACAAGATAGAACTTTGGGCACACTATAGAAGCATTTTATTTATTAGAATATCATTAAACACCCTGCAATGGGAAGTGTCATCATCCCCACACACACAGCAGGGTCCCTGGCAAACAGGAAAAAAATGTGGATTTAAAGCAGAAAATTCAAGAAAAAAAAATGAAATTCAAATTTCCCAGCTCTCCAGCTAAATCCCACTCTCCTGAACCCAGAAATCTGTAAATCCCAGCAGATCAGATACCCAGCGCAGCAGATCACTGCCACACTGCTCCGAAACCAGCTCGGCTATCGAAGAAGAATGCTGACATGCACAGAGCTTGTGCCTTGGAACGAGACAGTGTAAAATCAGGATAGTGAATTAGGTCCAGAATTATTAGCTTCACAGAGCCTCAAATCAATATCTGTCCTAGTTCAGTGACGAGTTCTGAACATTAAGAACCCAGGATCTGCCAACTCAGCCCCCACAGTCCCGCCGGCCGCCATCCTTGGGGCGGCGGGGAGGGCGCCATGTTGAGTGCGGCGCGGCGGGGCGCCATGTTGAGTGCGGCAGAGGGGCGCCATGTTGAGTGCGGCGCGGCGGGGCGCCATGTTGGGTGTGGCGGAGGGGCGCCATGTTGAGTGCGGCGGGCTGAAGGAAGAGCACACAGAGAGAAATGCCTGGAAACACGTTAATTGTTTAAACAAGAACCCTCACCTTCGAGTCCCGGGGATGTGGGGTGCTGGGATGGCGCTGCCCAGTGATAGTCCCCTCACATCAGGTGCTGCCATGAGGCTCTGGGCGCTCTGTGTGGCACAGACCCCACCTGTGGGGTCCCACCGCACTGGGGGGAACCCAGTGAAGCGAAGGCTGCAGCTGCCACTGCGCAATGAGTGTCCTCTATGCAAGGAAGTTGTCACCTCGCAGTTCCCTTTGGTGGTCACCTGAGAAAAGAAAAAGAAGACAAATCAAGAACAGGGAAGCCCACCGTCACCCACACCGTGGCACGATGCTGGCATGGCTCCATCATGGCATCTGTGGCGCCTGCTGGTTTCCCACTGCTGGGGCAGCCTGGATTGCAGAGCCTGTCATCCCCCATGACAAAGACCCCTGCACCCACCTCACTTGGCCCCTTCCAGCACAGCCTGCAGCGATTTCTTCAGAGCCGCATTGTTCTGATCCAGGGCGGCAGCCAGACTGCTCCGGTGAGCTGGGGTGATCTGGGATCAAGAGAGCACAAGCTTGGAGCGCTGCCCTGCCAGGAGCCCACCTGAGACCCCTGGACCAGGTCCCAGGCCGGCTGCAGCCCTGGTTGCCAGCTCACCAGCCCATCTGCAGGACCCGAGCCTGGTCTCACTCACCTGGTTCTGGTACATGGTAAGCATGGCCGTCACCAGCTTGGCATAGTCCAGTGATGTGGCAAAGGCTGAGGCCTGCTGGCACAGAGTCAGGACCAGGAGATCCAAGAGCTCTGGGGGGAGCACCTTCTGGAAGAAACCCAGGAGTGGGTAGGAGAACTGGTCCTTGCTCCAGTGCTGCCAGAGTCAGGAAGGAAACCTGGGGACAAGGGGACTCCCTCACCTGCCGCTCCAGCACGGCCTGCACTACCAGCAGGAGCTTCTCTGACAAAGGCAACTCCAAGACTTGGCTAAAAGTACAGTGAAGAGGAGAGGTGCTGCCCCACAGCCTTGCTGGTGCTCCTGAGTGGCCAGAGCCAGCTGGACCCATTCAGGCAGGCACGAGGCCAAAGCAGCGCTGTTGACCCTGTAATCCCTCACCTTAGCACCAGCTGCACACAGCGTGGCTCCAGGCAGTCCTCCACAAGATCACACACCAGCTTGGTCTGCTCAGCACCTGCAAGGACAAGGCAGATGGGGAAAGCCTTCAAAGGCCGCCAAATCCACAGGGATGTGCCCAGCTCTTCCTAGCACCCCTTCACACAGGTGTATGCCTCAGTCAGGACAGCAGAAACCACACAGTGCCCCGTTCTATCGTTCACGATAATCCTGCTTCCTTTGCCCACCTGCACTAAGGGTTTAAATAGCACCAGTCCCTAGGAAAAGAGGTTCATGCATGAGGAGAGGCGTTCAGCCAGCAGTTGGGAAAACTGATGCTGGAAGCTAGCCTGGCCTCCCCTCTCTCTCCATCTCACGCATCTGTAAACCCATCTCCCATTCTAACTCAAGTGTTTGCTTGCTCAGGTAGAACCAGCCCCGTGTCTCCATGGATCCTAACACATGTTCCACGTGACAAATGCCTCCCAGAAGACAGCACTCTGCAGTTGGGGCCCTTCTCCAGCTCCCACAGCCATGTCTCCCACAAGCCCACCGCACCTTCCCTTGGCTCCTGCAGGACTGCAGCCACCACCACATGGCAGAAGGGCTGGGAATACTTGGAGCAAAATGAAGAGAGAGCAGCCATGAGGTGTCGGGAAGGTGGCTGGGTAAGGGACAGGACCTAGGGACAGAAAAGGCAGGAGGTGGGGATAGTGGAGAGGGAAACAAGGAGCAGGAAACCTCTGCTGCCCTTGCACGTACTCGCCTGAGGAAGAGCTGCTCTGCCAGGACGGCCGCGCTGGTGTAGCTGAGGTCAGGGGTGAGAGCCAGCAGCCACCTGCAGAAATGCCCCAGGAAGGGCTCTGGGCACACAGACAGCTGGAGGAAGGAGCACAGTCCTTCAAGCTGGGGATGGCAGAGGGGGTGGGACATTAAGGAGGGCAGCAGGCCCTCCACAATACTGGTGGCTGTAGAAGGGATGCTGAGACTCGCCTGGCGGGGGGAGCAGTTGTTCAGGATGCACAGCTCAGGTGGGATGCTCAGCTCAGAGTGCTGGAGGGAAAACAGTACTAAGTAATGCACCAACTAAATCAACACACAATACACAGCTCCAAGGCTTCTCCCTTCCCCCCACGTCAACCAGAGCTGTGCCCACAGGCTGCCCCTCACACAGCAACCCCTGCGAGGTGCAGGCACGTATCAGTATCCCAGCCTGGAGGAGGTGGCAGTAGGGCTTTCTATCCTTGTCCAGTCGGTCCCGTGAAACCCACCTCCTTTTGAGGCCCTGGCACAAGCCCACTTAGATCACTAGCTCCAGGAGACAGACAGAAGCAACCACTTACGCTGGACTCCTGCAGCAGCAGCATTTTCAGCTTCTGTCCATGCACCTGAGGGAAATGAGATGAAGAAAGGGGAATTAGGCTGTAAAGGCTCACTCTCTGGAAGGGGAAGGCAAACCCTACTCGGTACCTGGAGAAAGGACTTGACATCCGCTGCCAGCTCTGTCTGGGCAACCTTCCTGAGCTCCCCAACTGCATCCTGCTGGGAGCTATCTGGAATAGCCCCATCTGTGCTCTCAGCACATGTAGCCACTGAAGGCTCCTGAGGCACCTCCTCTTCTATCCCTCTCACATCCCCACATTCCTGGGGTCCCAGAGGGTCAAACGCCACCTTATCCAGCAGCAACCTCTTCTTCTCTCTGTCACTGACCAACTCCACTCCCTCCTCCGACACTTTCTTGCACTTTCCACCCTGAGGCACAGAGTCAGCTACATCTCCAGTGGCATCAGGCTGGTTACGGAAGCACCAGTTCCATTTCTTTTGCCCCTCTGGTTTGCTCTGGGCAATTTTCTGGCACAGGCACCTAAGCTGCTGCTGGCATGCAGAAGATAGTGGAGTGGGAGACGGGAAGCACTCTTCTGCTCTTGGTCCCTGCTGGAGCAGACCCCCCAGTGTCCGCATCCAGGGATCCACATGGGAATCTTGTTCTATGGCCTGGAGCAGCTGGCCAAGGCAGCCCCCTGGCACTGCATCCCGTGTCACGAGGAGCAGGGAGAAGAAGTTTCTCTGGCACATGATGGGCAGCAGCAGCAGCCGTGGCTTCCTGGGTAAGGGGAGAAAAGGAAAGGCAACTTGTCACAGCAAACATCCTCATCCTGACTCCAAGCTACCCTGTGGGTCTCACTATGGAGCAAGAGGAGGAGGCAGCTAATGCCTTCACCAGCTTTTGCAGACACAAGCTGACAAGCTGGGAGACCAGCCGGTCACTGCTACAATCCCAGCTTCAGGCATGGACCGTTGCACTGGGGTAAGTGGACATGCGGTCCCAAACAGGCACCTGACACGCCAAACCTCCCACAAAACACCAAGTTTTAGAAACGCATCCGACTCACACAGCCAGGACGCCCTGCGGCCCCTCCAGCACGGGCTCCTCGGCGCACAGGGCTGCGGTGAGGGCCTGCCAGGGGAACGCCTGTCCCGGTCCCTCGAGGGGCTGTTCCCGCTGCAGCATCCGGAGGGCGGCCAGTGCCCCGGCGGGGCCGGAGGCCAGCGCGTGGAGCAGGAGGCGGCAAGGCCGGTCAAAGCGCAGCAGCCAGGGCGGGCAGCCGGGCTCCATCGCTGCTGCGGGGGCTCCACAGCCGCCTGTGAGACACGGGGGAGAGCCGGGCACGGGTCACAGGGGGAGAGGCGCAGCAGCATCAGGACCAGCCAGCCGTGCTCGGATCCGACCCCGGCGTCAGTTTCGGGGGCTGCCCTTACCTGCCCTTCCCCCCCGAGGATGCGGGAGCGTCACTGGGGTCGCACCGGGGGCCCCTCCAAGCCCTCTAACACCCCTTCCCCGGCAGCTCCCTCATCCCCAGCTCAACTCCCGCTGCCCTCCGGGGGGGCTCCCCCCGCCCCCTGTGCACTGCCCTGTGCACTGCACAGCCGGGGCAGGCCCCGACACTCATGGGTGTCCCCCGGCCTCGCTCTACCCGCTGCTTCCAGGCCCGAAGGCGCTGCTTCCGGCCCCGTCCCGAGAAACGCTAATCAACGGCGTGCAAAGGAGTCATTATGCAAATGTCGCCTAATGCCAAAACCGCCCCGCCCCCTGGGGGTAGAGCCACCCAGCCCCCAGACAGAGACTCCCGGCGCCGTGACGTTACATACGCGTTTTATTTCGTAATTCCCGGATTTGGTTAAAACCAGCTTAAAACAGTTTCCTCCCCCTCCCCCGCGGCCCGGCGTGCCCACCCCGGCCCGTGGGGCTTAAATCCCACGTTAACCCCCCCAGCACACAGCCCAGCCCCCCGCCCGGCACCCGCGGGTCTCCCATCGAGGGGGCGAGGGCAAGAGCAGGGGGGCTGTGCCCCACCGCCCTGAGTCACTCCCGGTGCCCCGGTAAATGGCAGCCACACTGCTTCCCCATCCCACCCTATCCCTGCAACACCGCCTATGCCTGGAGCCACTCCAAAACAACGGTGGAAGTCAAAAGCAGATGCCTCCCCATCCCAGGGACCCCACCAGCATCACCTAGGCCCAGTGTGACACCCCACGGCTCAGTCAGAGTCTCTGAAGTCAGTGAGAAGCATCTCGTGGCCATAACTTGAGTAGTGAAATTCCATCTCCATCACAGTCAGGGTGAGAGCCCACTCAAGCATGCAGAGCTCCTCATCCTCCTCGCTAGAGCTCTCCAAGGAAGAAGGGCTGAACTCCTGCAGCAGAGGAGGGAGGATGAGCCCCGGTCTCCCACCGCATTGCATGGCTGTGCCGCACCCAGCCCAGCCCCAGGACTTGCCACCCCACTTACAGTGGGCATCCTCAGCCGCTGCTGTCTGTGCGGTGGCAGCCGTCTGGTGGGCAGCTCGTGCAGGTAGATGCAGTCAGACCTGAACGGGCAGTAACCACGGTTCCGAACAAAGAATTTACACCTGATTTTCCTGCAGGATTCCAAGCACAGTTGTGAGTGTGGCTCCCAGAGCAGCACAGAGCCCACAGCCCTGCCACCCGCAGTTCCACGCACTCACCCTGTCCGCGCCTTGAAGGTTCTGATGAGTTTCTCCTTCTCACCTACATCTGAGATCCAGTATTTGTGGGGGATATAGTAACTGGAGGTGATCCGGCACTCTGGGCAGGCCCTGGGTGAAGGTGATGGGTGCAGATAGGTGTCTCAAAAATGGAGCAGGGAGCACAGGTGCGGCACCCACACAGGGTGGTCCTGCTGCCATGGCCTCATCCGGTATCCCCATCCCCACTCCCAAGGAAGTGTTCCCAAAGGAAAGTCATGCCAAGACCCAAGGAAGGATTTCAGAGTGCAGAAGGGGTGACGGTGACTACCCTCCATTGTCCCCATCCCCACTCACTTTATGACTGTGCTCTGGAAGTCCCGACTGCGACGCCACTTGCGGATGCATCCCACACAGTAAGCGTGGCTGCAGTTTGGGAGGATCCCGAAGAGCCGGTCCTCTGGCAGTGGCTTCTCATACACCCTGTCCATGCAGATGCCACACACCACAGCCTCACTCTGGGCTCTCAGTGCCTCGGTCGGGACTGGGGCAGCCACAGCACCCAGCTCCACAGAGACCTGCACACAGAGAAGCAAAGCATGGCAACCCCCGACTCCATCACTACCCTGGCCTTGGGGAGTGCCCGGCCACAGGACACCCCCAAACCCACCTCTGCAGGGTCAGTCCCTGTCGCCATCTCCACCACTCTCTCTCTGGGGTCAGAGGAGTCTGCATCCAGTGCCAGCCCTTGTAGCTGGGAGCCTGCAGCCTCTTAGAGGGGAAAAGCACATTCCACCCCACCATCAGAGAGCCAGGCAAGCCGCTTGGAGCATGCAGCCTCAGCAGTGACAGTCCCCTGGAGAGCTCTCTACAGCCCCAGCTTGGCTGAGGTTTGGGTCACAGGCAGAAACATGCATAGGCTGCTCTACCATGACCACCCCAGTATGCTCAGCCCCACTGGTCCCCCGGGCAGCCTACCACCTACCTGAGGCACGCCGTGCATGTGCGGGGACAAATTCTCCACCAGTGGCCCCCCACTGGATGTTACCAGGTGCTGTGACGTTCTTCTTGTCTTTCTCTTCCACCTCAACCTCCGTGTTTGGGAACTTGAAGGTCACATGTGCCACGCTGGGGGCAGGGTAGCCTGAGGTGTGCTGGGCTCCCACCCAGCCCTGGGCCATGGCCGTGGGCACAGTGCCAGGCTCCGGGCCCCAGCGGGAGGGGGGCATGGAGGGATCCAGGCCATAGCGGGATGGCACCAGCTCCTCCTGGATGTGCTGGTAGCTGGAGGAGCCCAGAGACAAACAGACAGAGGGTCCCATTAGCCCAGCATGACTCCTCTTGGCTCCCAGCCCATCCTTGGGGCATCAGACTCCTGCTCGCTGCCCCTTACCTGCACTGCTCTCCATAGCTGCAAAACCCACTCTGGAAGTACCTGCAGATCTGAGCTGAGTTTCTGTCATGTGAGAAACGGCAGCTCTGGCCCCATCGACAGGATCCACGGGCAAAATTCCTGTTGGTCAGAGGATCCACATAGCTGGGGTCAGATCCCACTCCCGCTTTGCCCCACCAAACACCCTGACATCTCTCCGTGTACCAGGTTTGTCTGGGTGAAGCCATAACTTGGAAGACCCCCACCCGGTGTCTGGGCTTCGGAGCCCCTGCCAAGGGCAGGGCCTGAGGGGAGCCAGTGCTCTCCCAGCCCCATCCAGCCTTCTCTTCTGGTTAACTGCAAAGCAAAATAAGCCTAGGACTAGGCTGGCCTGGGGGCTCTCCCCAGGGCAAGCCAGGGGTACTGAGGGCTGGGGCGGCCCCTGGCTCCCTGTGGAGCCATGGAGAGTGGTAGCAGTCCTTAGCTTGACAGGAAGGAGGTGCCTGGCTGGAGTGTTTCTGGGGACCCCCAGCTCCGGAGGTGGGGCAGCTGCATGGGGAAATGGGTGGGGGGTGGCTCAAGGGCATCCCAATCCACACTCTGCCCCTACAGTGGGGGACTAGTGGCCCCATCTCAAGCCTATCTCCCCCAAAAGCTGCTCCCAGCCCTCCCAACCCCAAGCCTTTACCTGCACAGGGGTCTCAAACAGCCCCTCCTGGCTGTTAATGTTCCAGATGCCGCCATCGAGCCCGGCTCCATCTGTTGTTCCCGGGCAGCCAAGAGGGCTTGGCCGCTTCCCAGGGCTATTTATGGCCTCAGGTGTGTCGTGGGTCCTCCTGGGATAATTCTCCCCTCGTAGCCGGGTCCACGCTGCGATTTGGGCGGAAGACAAGCCTGGACAAGCCGGGCTGATAGCACTCGGGTGTGTGAGCATTGTTTACTTTGAGTCAAGGACTTTTCAGCTCCTCTTGCTTCTGAAGTGAGAAGCCTGGCGGGGGGCACCACTCCAGTGTGCATCACTAAATTCTGTATATTCTTTTATCAGTACTATTTCCTCTTTTTTTCAGTCATATTAAACTATCTCAACCTATACAATTCACTTTTTTCTCAGTTCTCTCCCTCATCTCACTGGGAAGGGAGGGAGTGAACAGCTGGGTGATGTTTCGCTGCCTGCTGGGTTAAACCATACAAGGTCCCCAGCCAGGTACCCTGGATCACGTGCCCAGCAGTACCACGGCTCCCTGTGGAGCCCCCATTCATCCTTCCCATTCATCAGGCCAGCTGCATGGGAGAGGTGGGGGACAATGGAACAGCTTCTCCCAGGGACACTTAAAACGGGAAGAGGGAAGTCTGGGGGTCTTGCAGCTGCTTTCTGCAAACTCTCGGGTGTTCAGACACAGCCAAGGGCAGAGCCCAGAGCCAGAACGTGGCCCAGCTGCCCCAGAGCCCATCTTTGCCCATCTTGGGGTGGTTCTGGCCAAGCTGAGCTCATTGCCCAGCTCTGCAAGCTTTTGGGGCAGGAAGCACCCAGCTCTGAGACTGAGACCCTGCTCATAAATGGCTCTTTTCTGCTGCCTTTAGTTTGTAGGCAGAAAAACCACATGATCTATGAGCTCTAGGAATAATGGAGACCTGGGAATCATGGCAAATCCCTGGAAATTACAGCAAATCCCATCACCTCTGCTGGAAACCCTCCCATGGTCAGCTCCCCCAGGTGCCAAGAGAAATCCCACAAAGACAGGCTGGATGCTAAAAAATTCTTAAATATTTAGTTCAGATTTATTTGAAGTCAAGTCAGTTTGTGGACACTATTTATATTATTAAAAACACTTGGAGGTTTGTACTTCTAGCAAAAATATACATTTCAGTTTGAAGGTTGTTACACTGTTGAGGAAGGAAGAGCAAAAGTTCCCCAGGTGATGGGCACAAGTCCTGCATGTGACGGCGGTGGGGATGCTTTGGGAAGGGCAAATCCCCCGGGCTCCATCCAGCACATACATGTCTCCAGTGCCTTCCCCAGTGCCTTCCCCGAGAGGGCTTCAAAGTGCTTCAGAAATGGTAATTCCTAACACTCCTGCGAGGTAGGGAAGGGGGACGCTGGGCAGGGAAACTGAGGCACGGCAAGGCGCTGGAGTGTGGCAGCAGAGGCAGGTTTGGGATCGCCAGCCCTGTGATGGGGTGGGGAAGCCCAGTGCTCTTCCCCTTTGGGTTTTTTAAAGGACTTATTGCACCATGGAAATCTGCTACCCTGAAGATGAGGAAAGTAAAATAAAACCGACTAATTTGCTCCCACAACTGCTCCTTGGGAATATCAGTATTTTAATAAGGCTGCTCAGGACACACAGGACCAGAAGCTGCAGACAGGTAAGTGCTATGTCTTAGGTCAGACACCATTATGCCAAGAAGGAAACAGCCCTTCCTGGGTCCATCCTCTCTCCTTGAGCCCAGGTGATGCAGCCCTCCACACTGGGGACCCGGCCCAGCCCAGGCAGCACTATGGCATTTCACTACAGCTGCGAGAAGTTATGAGGTAAAGTCCAAATATGGTGCTGGGTTTAGACAGACCCTGAAGCCTGGAGCTGTCCCAGCTCTCAGAACGGTGGCAGAGGACCAGCAGCTTCTGTGACCTGGCTGTGCGCTCTGGGAAGCTCCTGCCCATTGTGAGCATCCCACTCGCTCCATCCCAGTTTATAAATCCTTGGCATTTATACTGGGGTTTACAGCTGTAAAGCTCTTTGCAACCAATGCACTAAAGGATCCTTTTGCTCCCCCTTGGAGCAGAGCCAGTGACAATCCAGGTCCCTTTCACAAGGGAAACTGAGGCAGGACACCAAACCCTGAACAGCCCAAAGCCCCTGACCCTGCACAGACCTTTTTAGTAACTCATATCTATGCAGAACAGCCTGTGGAAGCCACAAGTTCCAGCCTCTGCTGTGAAGGTGAATTTTAACAAGTCAAATCCTTGCCCTCTCACCTCCCCATCCCTCCTCTCATACTGAGGTGCTAAAGAACACATTTCCTCTGGAATGAGGGTGCCAGGAGCAAAGGCTCCCACACAGCACTCAGGAAGGCAGAGCTCACACGGTCCCTCTGGGAGACAGGAACACACTGCACAGAACAGGGGGCTGCTGCTGAGGGTCCCTGCTAGGACAGCCCTACTAGTGTTCAAATACTCTGGCTTTTCTTTGGGAAAGAGAGAAACATCCTTTCACATCACAACTGTCCCAGACTTCACGGCTCAGGACTATGTCTTCGGAGTGCAAACAAACAAGAAAATACAGACACGCTGTAAGTGCTACTGCTGGTCCCACCGGACCCCTGCACCTCGCTCGGGTCTCCTAAGGACCAGAGCTCCTCCCACCTTGGGGACCTGGGGTGCTGTAAGAACCACACTGCCTGTGCCATGTAAACCGGGTGGCTGCTCCAGAGGCCTGGGGAGCAGCTGGAGCTGGGCCGCAGTAATGGAAACAGCAGCTGTGGAGATTTGTTAGTGTGTGTTAACGGAGGCCCCGGCCAAGCAGGAGGCAGCTGCAAATTGTGACAGCATCTTGCCCTACGTACCGTATGTCAGGGTCACGTAGAAAAGAGTTTCCAGTAGAAGAAATGGAAGACACAGGAAAGGGTTTTCTTTGTTTCTGTATGAAGAGTCTTGATGGGAATCCATGGCTTCATTCTCATAAATAACAGGTCCTCAGTACATGTCCTTGTAGATTTCCTGCAGAAGTGGGTGCAGAGATGTCTCTGTCTCTGTCTTCTTGATCTTCTGCACCAGCTGGGCATGTTCTGTCACCAGCTGCCGCAGATCTGCCATCTTCTGCAGCAGCTTGGGGAAAAGGTACTGAGCATCTGGGTGGTTGGCCTGTAGGTGAAACTCCAGCACTCGCAGGATGTTGTCTTGGATCTCCTCCACCTGCTTCACATTCATCAGGCCAGGACGGTCTGTGGAGAAGAAGCACGGTAGCTGCAGGGTCATGGGGCAGCCCTCCAAAGTACACGCTCCTCCTGGGGAAAGGAAGCTGAGGATTGTATCCCACCCATTGTGACTCCAACCTCATCAGCTAGAAAGGGGAGAAGTGTGCCCTTTGACAGCCTATCCCACAGCAGCACACGAGGAGATGCCACTTCTACACTCCTTGCTCTTGGTCCAAGCCTGCCAGGCATCACCACCACAGAGCAGCTTTGGTTTTGGAAGTGTTCAGTTCTTCTCTTGTGCCCCTGACACACCCGTGGCTGACCTCAGGGCCAGCTGCAGCTCAGCTCCCCCAGCCCCCTCTGAACCACTTCTAAGTAAGGAGGACTCTTCCTGACTCTGGCATGGGCGAGGGCACCCACTCACCTCCGCACAGGATGATGGCTGCCACAAACAGGGACAGGTCACTGTCATCCAGCTCCAGCGCATTGAACTTCACTGCAAACTCAAATTTGGGCTCCATAATCTCATTGAAGGGCTTGCGCAGGCTACGCAGGAACTCACGGGTCACGAAGCCGTTCCCGTTGGCCACCAGCAGCCCATCCTTGTTCATGATGGAGGCCAGCATGGCGAAGATGGCCTCGTGCACCCCATACTTGAGCAGAGTCACTTGGTCATTCAAGTAGAGGCCTATGAAGCTGGGGATGCTCTTGGCAAACTCTGTGAGCTCCCGCACAGTCTCCACCGTAGTGCACTGGCAGCGATAGAAGACGTGCACCCCAATCTCCTTGTAGGGGGGAATGCCATTCACCAGCTGCTTCCACACCAACCCCTTCTCTGCCTGCCACAAGGTGTCCATGTCATGGATCACAAAAGGCTGCTTGAACAAGAAGCAAGTTAGGAGTCTGCTGTGGGAACTCGAGGTGCCAGCTCTGCCCAGGACACTCATGGTTGTCTGTCCGTCCCTGTGCTGTTCCCTGCCTCTGGGACTGACAGTGCTCAGGCAATCTGCACCCACCACCACAGCACAAGTCTGCACAGCAATGGGACTTTTCCTAGCGAGGGGCAGGACGTGCAGGGCCCACCTAGCTGCAGGTGGAAACTGGTGCATGTGGAACAGCTATGGCAGGAGGGAGATGTGCAGCATCCCCCAGAGAACAGCCCTCTGTACTGGCCATGGCCAACCCCACCTGCCCTGGGAGGGAACTTACTGGGGTGCTGCTGGCCTTCCCGGTCAGGATACCTCTCGCCTTCTTTTTGGTCATGTTGAAATTCTTCAGGTAGGCATTGTAGATATGCTTGGAGAAAGCTTTCAGGTCGGCCACCTGCGGGTTCTGGCAGCCGATCTCGCTTGCCGTCAGCCCTGCCACCAGCTTTCTCTTCTCTGCCTCTGGCATGCGCCCAAAGCGGATTGCTGGGGGGGCAAAACCAGTGGGTCAAGACAGAGGGGTGACTCCAGGAGATGCATCCAGAGAGGCAGAGGGTTGTTCTGCCACCGCAGATGGACAGGTCTGCTGGTGAACACCTGCACAACACAGTGCTTCTCCAGGATGCAGCTCCTCCAGCACTGGCACCTTCATGAACCACCCATTGCTGCTTCCCTCACACCGAACTCCCATCCCACTCCTCTGGGTTCTTTCACAAACCCACATAAAGACCTTTGCTTGGTCATGACCTAGAGGGTTACACCAGAAGTTTTAAAATCCTGGCACAGAAGAGCAATCTGTGTGTCCACTTCCCTCTGGGTCAGTTCGTAAGGCACACCCACGTGCCAGCAGCTGTCCTGCATGGTGGGAATGAACAGCCCCTTCTTGTACAGAAGACAGGGTTTAAGAGTCAAAGGCTCGAAACACTGGGTTTGAATGATCCCTTGGCAAGGAGAGCCATGGGCTAAAGCACAGCCTACCATGTGCACCCTTCATAGGAGAGCAGCTGGTCCCATGTCACCCAGTCAGTCAGGCCTGTGGTCAGCAGTGACACTCACCATTGTGTGACATGCCCAGGGAGAGGCATTTCTGGAAGCGGCAGTACTGGCACTTGTTTCGATTCTTCTTCTGAATCTTGCAGCTCCTCTCACACTTCTCATACTCCAGCTTCATGCGGATTGTCCGGCGGAAGAAACCCTGCAGGCAGGGAGCAGGGAGACATGGAGCAGCAGCGCTAGGGCCTGTGTTTTGGGACCTGGCTGGGTCCCCAGGAGCCTCAGGGAGGTTCAGGCAGGTGAGTAGGAGGAGCCCTGGGTACTCTGGTGCAAGCAAGAGTTGCTATCCCAAGGAGAGGTTGTGCAGTGGGAGAAGGGTACTGCAAAGGAGGAAGTGTGGAGGTCAGCCCCTGGCCCAGTGCTGTGTGACACTGCCAGCAGCCAGCAGGGAGGGATAGAATCACAGAATCAACCAGGTTGGAAATGACCTCTGAGATCATCAAGTCCAACTTTGATCCAACACCGCCATGGTTACTAGACCATGGCACTGAGTGCCTCATCCAGTCTCATCGTAAAAAACCTCCAGAGATGGTGAATCCACCACCTCCCTGGGCAGCCCATTCCAATGTCTGATTACTCTATCTGTAAAAAATTTCTTCTCAAACTGCTTTCCTTTGGAGAAACAAGCCATGAGCCAACCCTGGCCTGCAGGAACATCTGGCACGACCTGGGCTGCTAACATATCTCTGCTGGATTTGCTGTTGGGGAAAGAATTCCAGAAGCACATCCAAGCTGCAGCCAGTGATCCCAGGGGGATAAATACACAGCTCAATGCTGATCTGTGGCACAGAAACCAATCTTTAAAAGCAAACTCAGGGGCCTTGTGGGGACAGATGGATTTTCCTTTCAAAGTAAAGCATGACGGGGCAAGATTTGGACCATACAGACCTCAGCCACCTTCCCAGGGCACCACTTCTGCCTGCCTGTACTCGCCACACTCTCTGGACAGGTTTTTTACACTTACTCAATCCCACATCCCTGTTTTGCTGCAGATCTCCTTGTTTGAGGAGGCAGCCCAGTCCCTGGGGTCTAAGCCCTGCTCGGTGCAGCTGAGCCCAGCCCTCTCCACAGACGCACCTTGCAGCCCTCGCAGGCATGCACGCCGTAGTGGAACCCCGAGGCTTTGTCTCCGCAGACTCTGCACTCCACGTTCAATGCTCCCAGGGCTGCCTCCTCACAGCCCATCTGCAGCTGGTCCGACAGCGAGGGAGAGGAGCTCTGCGACATGTCTGCAAACACACACAGGGACATGTCCTTCCATGTTACAGCCACAGGCCTAGCACCTGGTGTGGCCAGCTCTTCCAGTCATGGGGCTGAGGAAGGATTTCCAGCCCTGTCCTGCCTGCCACTGCCATAGCAGCTGGCTAGTTACCAGGAATCAGGCACTGGCTCCAGGCAGATTCCAGGCATTCATGCCCAGGCAATGAAACACAACCAGCTGACTTTATAATCCTTGGTTGGCTAGCCACTGGCACAGGGCTGCCCAGCTGGAATGTCCAGGGCTCTGGAGGAGCCTCTTCAGCAGCCACAAACCTTCTCTCCCAGCTCCTACAATCACTTTGCACTGAGGACTTCAAAAAGTGTCCAGGGAAGCATTTCCAAGCACCCTGGGGGGCCCCTTGCTCTGAGACACAATGTTACCCGTCTGTCCTTTTCATTTCCACTCCACAACCCATTGCCAGTGGCTGTGCAGTGACTGCAGAGCAATAAGTAAGCCTCTCCGTAACTTGGCTATTGGTGCATTATTTCACAAAGGGAAGAAATTAAAACCAGCTGAACTCCATTCACAGACAGGTCCTCTGCCCTTGCAGCTGAGCACGCTGCCCGGAGGCTGTGGATGCCTGTATGCTCTGGGGGCAGATGAGCTCCCATGGCTCCACTTACCTGTGTAGCTGCTTGAAGGCAGTGAGCTGTCTGGTCCTCCAGTTGGGTCCAAGGCTCTACTTGCCACCATCACTGCCTCTTCCTCTTCCTCTTCCTTGACCTCAGGTACTTCCTCCTGTAGTTGTTCCATAATTGATCACCCCTCAGTGCCAAGACTGCAATCCCTGTCATAGCTCTGGCATCATCCGAGTCTATCCGAGATGGACCCCACCAGGCTGTTCCTACTAGCCTGCAGGACACGGGAGAGAGGCCAGGGTCAGTGCTAAGTGCCTGCATAGAGCAGCTCAGCAGCAGGACAGTGTGTCACCAACCACACCAGTCCTGCTCTGTGCTTGCTCCTCAGCCCGTGAGACGTGCAGAGCTGGGGCCCTTTAAAGATCCCTATGCACTCTAAGACTCAAGGAAGCAAAAACTCACAGAATTATTTAAAGGCCAGCAGACAGAACCCAGACAACAAACCAGCTCAGATGACACCCAGGGACCTGGGTCCCCAGCTTGCAAGTCCCATAGCAGAAACACCGCCCCAGAAAACATCCCCCAGAGCCGCCAGTACACTAGGATGTCACTGTAGCAGCCAAGGCCAGGGTCTTTCAGAGCCAACACCTTCAGAAGGGTCAAGGTAGGGGTGGCTTCACCCTACATCCCCACACAGCCACGGCAGAGCTGGGACCGGGAGCAGCGGCTGACCAGGGTGCTCTGTGCCCTTGGGTGGGGGATGCTGGGTGAGCAGGGCTCGATGTAGCAGCAGGCAGTGCCTTAAAGCCCCTGATTTGTGTGAGCCATCTGCAAGACCGATGGCTTCCTGCTGGCCCTGTGCTCGTGCTCCTTTCCATCACAGCACTGCCAGTTACAGCCTTTGTGTTTGTTTTCACTTGGCTCTTCTGCCAAGAGCTGCCGGGCTGTGCTCAGCCACGGGGTCCAGCAGCACAATCCCAATGGCCTCACAATCCAACCAGTGTCTTAATCCTGGGTTTCCTGTGGGAGGAATGACCCATCCTCCCCCCGTGCGCTTCCGCTCCTTGTTTGCCTTACTCGATCCCAAAGAGCCCACGAAAAGCTCAAGCTGTGCAAACGATGCATCACCACTACCACAGCCACTGCAGAGCCATTCCCACCTCCCTCCCAACCATGTGGATCTCGCCTGAGCATCCAGCTTGTGCTGTAACACTCTGGTGCTCATTTACCTCCAGATCTCGATTCCTAAACTGACTCTTGCTTGAGTAATTAGTATCTCAAAGCCAGTTTATGTAGAGGTCCATCCACTTCCTTAAAGGAGCTATTTTTAAACAGAGAAATATCCATCAGGAAAGCTGCTAAAATTCACGTTCTTCCAGGAAAGCCTCAATTTGCAGGCCCAAGTTAAACCATTGCAGCATCTCACAGGGGCCTCATACAAGGGCAACCCTGAGCTCTGGGATGGTCTGTGCCTTGTGCCCAAGTCCATGGCACAGCCCAGGGAGGGGCTGGGGGAGGGCAGCAGTGATCCAGGACTCCCTGGGCTCATTTGCCCTCCTGCAGCAGACCGTCATGTGTCACACTTTGAACTTAGAGCTGCAGCCAGTTCCTCGGATTCCTGGAAAGCTGTCAAGGTCAGAGCTCCCTGCAAGATCAAGAAGCAACTGAGGGAGAGGACAAAACCTGCAGGTGGGAGGGTGAGCACAAACATGTTGCGAAGCCAGGACACAAGTCACCTCCAGAGCTGGTGCTGCACAAAAGCCTGGGTCTCCCGCAGCCCAAAAGGGCTTTGTTTTTCCCCCGCTACACTGGGAATGCAGACTGCAGCACAGGTGTCTTTGCTTCCAGGAGAGGTACTTTAGTGGCGGCTGTGAGCACACTCCATGGTGGCAGAAGCAGGCAGAGGGGTGCTCCCTTTCCAAAGGAGCACTGAGGGACCTTTGAAAGGCTGTGTTATCCTTGGCCTCCACTAACACATCCAGCGCAGTGGGACATGACACTCAGGCAGGAAAAACCTTTTCAGTGGAGATGGAAGGTAATGAGCTCAATCATTTTCAAGGTTATATATAAGTGATCATACAAACGTCAGGGAAACACTTTTGCCTGGAAGAGTAGTTAGTGAGGGAAGTTTGTGGCAGGAGAAACTCATCTACAGTGGAAAATCCATCCTGCAGCAGCTTAATGAGCAGCTTACATCCCCTTTGTCCCTGGCATCCAGCTCAGGCCCCTAGCTTTAAACCCAGTGCTGACAGAGTTCTTTGCTTTGCCCCAGATGCCTCATGGCATACTGCTGTTGGAATAACATGAGTGCATCCCTGGCATGCTGTCCTCCATCCACCAGGTCTGCTCAGGGCCATGGGCTCCCAGGGTGGCAGTGAGTTTGTGACATGCAGCTTGCTCCCCAAAACCCACCAAAGCAACTCCAAAACTGTGCTTGGAGTCAAGACTTGGACAGGCTTGAGGAGGGGGAAAGCAGAGGGTGAGATGTGCACAGACTGCATCGAGGGGCTCCAGCTAGGGCTCCCCATGTGCATGCAGGCATTACAGGAAGGATATGGATGCTAATCCCACCCTTTAAGGGTGGCTGGAGAGGCAGAGAGAGAAAAGCTTTTATCAGAAGGCTCCAAACATATTGTTTGAATATCTCTGCAGGCCAAGAGTACAAGGGGCCTGGGCAGAGGAGAGCTGTGGGAGCGGTTTGCACACCTGCCTCTCCCTTAGCCCTTCCCCTGTTTTCTAAACCACAGGGATAGAGGGAGAGGACTGGGAAAGAAGACTGATCTCTCATGGGAGGCTGCACCCCCTGCTTTTGGCAGATGAAGGGCCAGAGCAGCTACAGCCTTGATAAAGGGCTGTGCACGGGCCATGCCTGTGCACCCTCACAAGGAGCCAGTGGCTGGGTAGGACTCCCGGTGAGAGAGGGACCCCAGCCCTCAGCCCTGGGCCAGGGGCAGCAGCCAGCAGGGTGGCAGCAAGCAGAGACTGTGGAGATTCACCAAGAATTCACATGCTCCCCTCCATTCCTCTGCAAACCCTGCAGTTGTTAGAATGGGGGGGTCCTGGGGAGCTGGAGCTCTCCAGAGGTTTGTCCAAGCTCTCTGTCTCGGAGCACAAGGAGGGACCTGCCCTGCCAGCACTGCAGCATGGAATCTTTGTGCGATAGCACTAGGGATGACAGAGGATGGCCAAAGAACCGATCTCCATCTCAGGACCTCTCCAGCTGTTTGATGCCCCCACATCCAGTGGTCAAGTGGACAGAGCAGGATCAGAGATAACTCGATCTCCTCCTCTTGGTTAAGGAGTCCCCCACCAGAGCACAACACACAAGCTTCAAGCTGCAGGGAGAAAGGCAGAGATTTCTGCCCAGCATAGCCACCCACTCCTTTCTGCCGTTCGGCAGCTGTCACAGAACAGTGATGGAAACAAGGATGAGAACTGTGAATTCCTTCCTAAGTTTCTCCAGAGAATCCCGAAAAGCTGTTTCCCTTCCTCTTCCCACAGGATAGGAATGAGCAAGAGGGCAAACATCTCGTGACTTGCTCTGCTCTTGCCTCAACCCCTGTTCCAAGGAGCTTTGGTAACCCTGGCTGAGGCAGCAGCTCCCTCCCAGGAGCCCGCAGCCAGCGGAGGGAGGGTTCATTTGCTGGCTCTGGGCTTGGGCTCATGCCTGCTGGCTGCAAACAGCTTGGGCAACAGGTTTGTCTTTCCTAGAAGCTGGCATCTATGCCAAGCTAAAACACTGGTGGGAACAGGGAAAGAGACGTGGCACAAAGGAAGCTAAAAAACAGGAATAAAAGTTAAAAGGAGATAAACCTTCAGTGTGGATTCCCTGCAAGAAGGCGGTACTTCTCCAGAGCTGACCAAGATCCAAGCCTCCAGTTCATCAACCCACAGCTTGTGCCCCTGTGGCCCAGGAGCTCGCCACGGATGATTAGTGCGTAAAGCCCGGAGCCAAGCTCAGAGTTCCCAGGCAAAGCCAAGCACCAAAGAAAGGTCCAAACCTCCCAAGGTCAAGTCACAGAGTTGATCTGCTCTACGTAGTTTTTCAAGTTACTGTAAAAGAGGTCACTAAGAACTGCAAAAGCAAACCAATTTATCATGGGAGCACTTCTGACTTGTGTTTTTGTTCCTCTGGACAAAAATGTTAGCCATATTCACAGCCAACAGAAGCAGAGTGGGTGAGATGAGAACTCAGCCGTCTGTAAAGCAGTGCTGTGAAGCCCATTTTGAATCCAAAACTGACCTGAATCCATACAGGAGGTGTGATTGCTGCTGGTTGACCACCTCTTGGCACACTCCCCTCAGTTGTGTCACTGCTTCCAAGATCTGACGAACAAGTACCAGTTCCTGTTCCTCCTCCTACATGTCAGCTACCACTAATAAAAGTCAAATAAGAGCTAAGCAGATGCTGCAATACAGGACAGGTAACTAAGTGTACAAAACAGGAGAGACAAACACTGAAAACATGTTTGTGTTTGTTCCTGGAAGAACAGCATGCCCCCACATTAGCCAGTGAGATCTCAGCAGCACTTATTAGATGAGTGCTTCCTCCCTTACTCAAAGTCTTGGCCGCAAGGCAGGCTACACACAGAAATAGACTACTAGAGCTAGACAGGCTCTTCCTTGCTACACAGCCTTGACCAGGATGGACATTCTGGACCAGATTTTTCCCCTTGAAGCATTTGTTCAGATGTTGGGCCATGCCCCAGAGCCCAGTCCTGTGATTCTCTCTCCAAGGCTGACCACCTGCATTTCCCCAAGCATGAGCCCAGCTGACTAAGCAGCAGGGTGCTGCCAGAGCTGCCATTACCATGCTGCTTCTAATTACTCAGGGACATGTGACACAGGGTGCAGGAGATTCCCTCGACTGCCTTGAGAAGCCAGGCTTGCCAAAATGAATCACACATATACTGCATGTTTTAACTCACCCACTTCCTGGGCATTGAGGGGGAAAAAAACCAACTTGTTAAAAAACTCAACGGACTCTTCTCCTTTCATACCATGACTGATGCTGTTACCCAAAAACAGGTCACAGCACTTTCTCACCTGTGCTGGGTTTGTTAAGAGCGCAAGAGGTATCACAGACATAGGAACAAATAAGACTTTGGGCACTGAACTCTCAGCCACGTGCAAATCAGGGTCTGCCAGGCTGCTTGCCCTCCAGGAGATGCAGCCAATTCCTGGCTCCAGCAGGTCCAAGCATGAATAAGATATGCTCTGAAATCTAGAGATGGCAGATTAGTGGGAGACAGGGGAATCATCCCTCCACATCTTCCCAACGGAGAGACTCCCTGCCCTTATCAGGCTCCACGGCTGCCATTGGCAGATGGGCAGCAGCAGGACATGCAGAGAAGAGCTGCACAGTTGTTAGCTCTTATTTGAAATGCTGCTCCACAATCTTCAGCAAATCCAGTCAAGTCCCATACCTCCATTTCCTTCATCATCAACCCCCAAACAAAAGCAAGACTCACCACAAAAAAAGCAAACCTAGGACGTTCACAGTGCTTTATTCCTGATCCTCCCCTTGCTGTGTTTACTCACGGAGACAGCATGTTTTGGAAGTGCAGAGCAATCAATTAGTGCCAAACGTCATTGTTTATTCCTGTATTATGGATTTTGACACCTGTTCGCAGTCACACTCGCAGGTCTGGCCTGCCCAGCCCCCAGTCAGCACCCCACGCTTCTCGTGACCATCTTCTCCTGTTATACATTCCTGTACGAGGCATTTCCAGGGAGGTTTTCAGCAAATAAATGGACACATCTCATTCTGACGACTGCTGACTGGTATTTGTGCTTTGCTGTCAACTCACACCGGCCCAGAGCACCAGCACCAGCACCAGGGCCAGGAGGGGCATGTGTCTGACCCACTGGAACAACAGCAGCCAGGAAACAAGCAGGTACTGGAAAGGTGACACCACTGGGGCTTCTCAGCACTGGAAACAGCACAGAAGTGCTGCTATTTGAAAAGACCACTAAGACTGGCAAGGAGAGAGAATCATCCCCCCACAGCCCAGGGCACAAGCAGAGGTGGCTGTGAAGCTGTGGTAATGCTTTGGCATCACACTGCAAACCCAGCACACGCATGCTAGAGAAGCTGTCTGGGATATACTCCCCCCTCCTTTACCATCCTGAAGGTGAGGAGAGGTTGGGGGGTCAGAACTCACTGAACCACTGTAAGATGATGCTTTCTCATACTGCTGAAGTCCTCTCGGCTGTACTCCAGGGCTGCTGGTTTGCTTAAGGACCTCTTGTCCTCCCGAACCTGAGCAGGACACGTGGAAGGATCTGGTTTCAGGAACATTAGTAATTATAGAACAGGGCTGATGAGGGAGGAGCTCACAGGAACAGCAACACCACTTCCCGAGGCAAACACTAGGCACAGGGTGTTACAGACTCAGAGTAGTACTGAAATGGAACTCCAGGAAAATGGCAAGTGGAACAAGTTGTGGCTGCCAACGGGAGCACTGTTGGCAGTCAGTGAGGCCATCGTTTGGCAGTGCTACACACAACAGCTTAGCTTTCCCCAAAGTCTCAGTGTCACTGGGACAACAGCAAGAGTCACCTCTGCTTTGGATGGGGCAATCAGCTCCTCAGAAAAGCAGTGGGGGCAGAAAAGCAGCAGTGGGCCGATGAGTCTCTCAGGATCACACGCACGTGTATGCAGCTTTTTTTCAGGAGCCAAACACCCAACAGGCCCTTAAGTTTTATTGCTAGGCTGCCAGTGCTCCCAGATCCAGGAAAAAAACAAAACCAATAGCAAGCCTTCTCCTCTTTGCAGCAACAGATTTAGATCCCATGGGCTAACCAGGAAAAAAAAATAAATCTATCAGCCTGTAAATTTTGTTATGTTTACACTTGGACTCACAGGAAAGTGCTACTGGTTTTGTAGACCTTAGCAAAATATCCTGGGCACCAGCCATGCTGCTCTAATCCCAGGATGCAGCTGACAGAGAGCAATTGTGCCCAGGCACAAGTTCCGATGATTCAGCAGGGCCAGGGAACACGCGCCAGGGAACTGAGATAGATTGAACAGATCACGGCAACCGCTGTAGCTCCACTTCAACCACGGAGCAGGAAAACAGAGGGGTCCGAGTCTGACTGCACAGGTCTCCAAAGGAAAACCTCCAGAGAACATCAGAATCACTTTGCTAGACAAATTAGTTCAACACCCTGTCAGGGAACTAGATGGGAATGCTGTTTCCTTACTATTTTTGGCCACATTCACATAGCAAGAGCTGGCTGCAGAACAGATTTCCTTGCACTTTTAGCAGTGAAATAAGCAGCAACCATGTCAGCAGGAGTCTGCCAAGAATCACAGTGTGCTCTGACCATTTGAATTTCTGCACCAGCCCCCAGAAAACAAAACATTTGAGCAAAGTATTAATACCTTTTTTAACATCCTTATGTCTTTGGCACTGTCTTGAGAGTACAGGGTGAGCTGCAGTGGTCCACAGCAAGCCAACGACTATCGTTTCCCAACACAGCCAGCTGCTGGGAGCCCATTGGGCTCCCCGAGTTCATGCTCACCAACAACCCTCTTCCAGAGATCCTCGTGTCCCTAAGTCCCACAACACAACACCTTCCTCATAGACATGGTCATTTTCAGAGATGTAGGACTTTGACCATCAGCCCTTATGGGGTTAACAGCTTTCAAGGGCCAACATTAAAGGTGAAAAGCTGATTTGGGCATTTTTGGAAATGTCCCAGATTGCATTATGACGAAACCAAGAGCTGCATTAAAAAAATGTTTGTAACAAGTCAGTCAGGATAGAGATTTGAGCATAGGTTCTCATCAGCAAGGTGGCTGCACAAAGCACTGGTTCTTTTGAAGCCATCTCAGTGGACCTCTCCTCAGCCTGACAAAGCCTTTCCTAAGGAGACATTCATTAGGCAGGCACGTGGTTCACAGTAAAGTCTGTCTTAACAGCCCATCAAAGAAACACTTCCCTATCAATTCATTTGCCCTTTCAAATCACTAGAACCATTCCCTGTCTCCATCCCACATCTCTGTTACTGGTTGAACATGCAAGTTCTGTTTTCTGCTATTCCAAGTTCCAGTTCGCAGGCCAGGGCAAACCAGGAAGTACAGCATGACGGGAACAATTCTGGTTAGCATGGAGGTTACCTGGCCATGGCTATCCCCCAGCCCAGAAATGGGCTCTGTTTTGACCTAGCACCACGACAAATGTTCATGCTTCTGGCTTGTGCTTTCATTCTGCCACTTCCTCCTTGGTCATGATTCCCCTGCAAACCACAGCCTCCCCAAAACTCAAACCTTCAAGCAGAACCTGTCCATGGGGTCCCCAGGGAAGTACCCTGACAGGGAAGTACTTTGGAAACCTTTGCAAAGCCAGATGGAAAGACCTGACCCAAATGATCACAGATGTTCATGAGTTCTTGACTAAGCCTGGGAGGACACAGACATTTTCCAGATACTGTGATACAAACAGTGAATATCAGAGCATTTCAAGAAGTCATCCTGAAACTGAGATACATCTCAAGTCAGTTCTACTCTGAACCCTTCCTGAAATGAAGCAGGGCTCCGGTGAATGTCACCCCAAAACATATATTTTGGGTAAGATACATTTCACAATCTCCTTGATGAAAAGGACTCATATTGGCATCAATCGTTCCACTCTAAACCCTGCTTTGGGAAAGTAACTTCCCAGGCATTCTGCCAAGGCAAGCACATTTCAGAGTATTAACAAAAAAATAAAACTAGCTCTACAGAAAAATCTCAACTGTACTCACTATAGAAATGACTTCTGCTTGTCTAGACTTTCCCAAGGTCTCCAAAATCACTGTAGCAGGGCTAAGCAGTGTATCTCTGAACACAGACACTTCTAGAAAAGCAGAGATTGTTCTGTAGCACCTGATGAGAAGCAGTGAACACAGCCCGACAAATCCACAGGTATCAGTTTGTTCCTGCTCTAAGCAAGAGAGCCAATACAAAACATAAACCCCCAACATCTCTAAAATGCCATAGTCAAGGTAAGCCATCCTGGCAGCAAATAACCTTTCAGGTATAAGCACTGTAACATCATCTCACCCAATTAAAACATCATTTGCATGTCAGGTTCCGCTGTTCGAAGGAGACCAAAAGTCTCTTGTTGTGCCAATTCCGCAGTCTCAAAGAACATTTGCAGATTTTCAGCTCATAATTCAACAGCCACAGACAAAATATTCTCCAAAAGGCAACAAGATGTACTGTACAAAAATACATATTTGTCAAAAAGCATCACACAAAAGAGACAGAGCCCATCAACACCAGGAAGCAATTCCATAAAACAATGCTCTTCTGATCAGCAAAGCCTCACGAGGCTCATTACAAAATCCTCTCCATATGCTGTGAAGATCCTTGGAAGTTTGTGTCTTGAATACCAGAACAGAGACAGCAAAGACAGTTGCACAAACTTGACACAGAAACCCACAACAGCTGAACACCTCAGACCTGTGTTGTGGCAAACACACACCCACAGCCACACGCAGACAGCCTTGGCATTGCTGGAAGCCACACACAGCGTCCCGGTGCAGGGCCTTCAGTGAAGACTTCCAGGCATCACTTCAGAGGTCTGCAGGCAGGAGGGTGCCCTGCCTGCTCCCACCGACCACCTCCTCCAAACCCCTATCCTGACTCTGCCGTGACCTGCTTGGCTTTGTCGAGCACCAGCAGACGTCAGCAGTACCACACGTGTCAGATTGTTGCGGCCCTGGATCTCATATGCCCTCCCCAACCCAACAACAGCCAATTCCAGTCATAATGAAATATTATGTCACTTTGCTTTGACAAGCAAGAGCCAGCTGAGAAGAACAGGATTAGACCATGGTCCTCACGACCTACTTCTAAGGTAACTCATAAAGATCATATTCAGAAACTGAACAAAAATAAGGTATAGAGTTTAAATTTACAATGAAATTTAAGAACATTTAAGCTCATGGACAAAAGTGAAACTTGCTGAAAGCAAACTCTTCTTCCCAGGCTCTTCCCTATCCCAAGTTTATAGAAACATACATAGGGTAAGTGCCTTGGTCAATCACCTGCATGTGAAGGGAAAGGGTTACCTCTGTGGAGCTGCTGGCCCTGTCTGCCTGTTGTCAAAAGCCACCGCTCGGTCACCATGTCAGCACGGAGAGCCGAAACCTGGAGCAATCTGCAAGAGGACAGAACGCAGATTTCCACAGCTGTGCTGAAGGCCAGATATTTATGCTGCTGGGAGCATTGGGCTGGGTCCAGCAGCAGCTCTGAAATTTAAACACACACTCCCTCTACTGCATGCGGTCACAGCATCTGCCCCAGGACTGGGAGGTAGAGTAAATCACCGGGTGTCCCAGCAGAGACAGCCCCAACTCCTCACCAGGCTTTCAGCATCGGGATGTCCCCTTTGCCTTACGTCACCTGCAGTTAAAGGCTGATGACCCTGAGCTTTAATGACAATACATGAAGCTGATGCTAGAAAAGGGTCTGTGGTGGCTGTAAGGTGGCTTGTTTACTCAGCTTGCTTAATCCACCTTCAGGAGGCTGTCAGAAAGTTCCTGCAACTTTAATGAACTTCCCTCTCAGGTGGCTGAAACTTAAGGATTTGACAGAGTTCATTCACTCTTCTTGGTTTTCCCGATAACTTTGCATTATACGAATTTCAGGATCAGAACAGCAGTAAGAGACCAGTGCTGGAAAAAGTGGCTTATGAGGCTTTGAACTAAAGGACTTAGAGAAAATATGTCCTATTTTTAGACAGTTATGCAGACTAACTGGACTAAAACATTAAACAAAGATGTTGTGAACATAATGCTATTTGCACCCACGTACCCTCCTTGACATTAGCCAGGCTTAGCTGCTCCTCCCACCCCAATGGAAAAGTCCTGTTTCCTATTGCTGCCCCCAACACAGGATGACTTGCGAAGCAGCCGAGCACCAGCAATAAACCAGTGTCACCAGCTCCCACCAGGACGGGCAGCTCGGCAGCGACCTGTGAGTGCTGGGCTGAGAGTAAGCCCTGGTGTTGCTCGCCCTTCTGGCTCTGACATGGCACCAGGACCCGCAGCTGTTCAGGAGAGGATGAAGAAAGGATGCAAATCCCCTGCCCCAAAAAGTCAAGGCTCCCAACACACTGGCCTGAGTGTGGTGGGTGTTCCCTACAGCACCAAGCAGATCAGGTACATCTACAATAGGGCACAAGTGTGAGATTCAGAAATACGACCCCAATCCCCTGCACTGGAGCATCACTCTCATCAGGATTGCCCGTTTTTGTGGTCAGTGATGTCAGTCACAGCTCCCTTTGCAGGCAGCGACTGCCCTCCTTCAGAGGCAGGGGCACCAGCCTCTGCCTCAGTGGGGCCATAAAATGGCCTTCAGGAGCCTCACTTTTGCAGCAGTACATTACAGCCAGAGCAGGTTCCTCATCCCTTCTCTCCCAACATGGAACAGTTTTTCTAAACAATCCTGACGAAATTTCTCTTTAACCTTCCTAATGAGGAACAATAATAAAGTCATTCCAGCCTCAATGGCACATCAGGAATTGGCTTCCTCCACCTGCAGTAAAGCCCATCGGCATAGCCTTGACGCTGTCAGCGAGGGCTGAATCACACACAGGGAGTGCACAAATCACACCCTGAGCTCTCTCCCATCACAGACCAGTGCTTTGCTGCTGCTGCTGCCAGAATTCTGAGAATTAAAACAAAACAAGTGGCTCACCTTGCCCCACTCATAGTTAAATGCCAGGACATGCCCATCACACCACTCACAAGGTATACTTGCACCAGCTCAGCAGGGCATGGAGCGAACCTGCCAGCACATCCTTCCTGGACTCTTCCTCTGATGTCCCTGGCTGACACATGGTAAGTCACCAGGAAAACTCCCACCTCAGCACAGCCTGGAGCATGTTTGTACAGAAGAGGATCCTCTGCCAAGGGCAGTAAGGGATTTGCATGGAGAGGGCTGGTGGAGAGGAGAGCAGAGCAGAAACGAGAAATGGGACATGGGCTGCCTCAACCCACAGGTCACTGGTTTAGAGACTAACACTGCAACCAGCCCTGGGATTCCAACTCAGGAGCAGCCACTGCTCAGACCCCTCTGTATTGCCACGAGGGATGTTGGCCAGACCCTACAGCACATCCAAAGCTTTCTTGCCTCTCTGCCCACCCAAGCCTGTTCCAACACGTGGGGGTTCAACAGACTGATTCCTTCCCAAAAAGCATGTCCTTTTTCTGGGATCTTGGGGAAAGTGGGAGCAGAACATGGAGATATGAGGGATGGGAAAGGACTCTCAGATCCTTCTTCCTTGAGCAGCCCCTCATCAGATGCTCTGCTGACGGACCATCCTGACCCTCTTGCTTCTCCTCCTTCCAGCCCCAGACTCCAGCAGTGCCCCTCACTGGTACCCTCAATTCCCACCCCAATTCCCCTCTGCCACCTCATCCTAACACAGAAGATGGGCATTGTCCCCCTCAGCCTCCTCCCGTGTGGGCCACGTCCCATCCTCTGTCTGCCCTGATTTCCTAAGCAGGAACTACAGCCTGAACCCTCAAGTCACTGACATCCCCCGCGCCCCAGCTCCTCGCGCCAACGTCCCCTCTGCTCCAACCCCTGTTCCTCACAGCCCTGTCCCTGCCCCTGCCGCCCCCCGTTCCCCTCACAGCCCAGCCCCTGCCCTTGCCGCCCCCCGTTCCCCTCACAGCCCTGTCCCAGCCCCTGCCCCTGCCGCCCCCTGTTCCCTCACAGCCCTGTCCCAGCCTGCCCTTGCCCCGTTCCCCAGCCCTGTCCCAGCCTGCCCCTGCGCCCCCGTTCCCCACAGCCCAGCCCTGCCCTGCCGCCCCTGTCCCCTCACAGCCCAGTCCCAGCCCCTGCCCCCTCACAACCCCCAGCCCTGCTCACCTCGCGCACGGCCCCTCTCGCGCCACCGCCCCCCGCCCCGCGCGTCACCGCGCGCCCCCTGACGCCACCGCACACCGCACGCGCGGCCAATCACGGCGGCCTCGCGCCCGCGTCACCACGGCAACGGCCCCGCCCCGCGCCGCACCGCCCCCTGCCGGGCACCGCCGACACCGTACCCTCGGCGGGCCCGGGGCCTCATGGGAAGTGTAGGCGCTGCACGAGGGGCGTGCCGGAGGGCGGGGCGTGCCGGAGGGCGGGGCGTGCCGGAGGGCGGGGCGTGCCGGAGGGCGGGGCGTGCCGGAGGGCGGGGCGTGCCGGAGGGCGGGGCGTGCCGGAGGGCGGGGCGTGCCCGAGGGCGGGGCGTGCCCGAGGGCGGGGCGTGCCCGAGGGCGGGGCGTGCCGGAGGGCGCGACCGGCAGTGGTCGTGCGACTCTGTCACCACGGCTCTGTCCCCACGACTCTGTCCCACGGCTCTGTTCCCACGGCTCTGCCCCCACGGCTCTGTCCCCACGGCTCTGCTCCCACGGCTCTGCCCCACGGCTCTGTCCCACGGCTCTGCCCCCACGGCTCTGCCCCCACGGCTCTGTTCCCCCGCGGGTCGCTTCGAGCCGAGTCTCCCGCGCACGTGGAGCCCGAGCAGCCCCGGTGAGCTCTTGTCTCAGAGCAGCGCTGGCAGAGGGACGGCGGCGCCCGGGCTTCTGCCCTGTCCCTCAAGTCCGTGGCGCGGCTCACCCGGTTCCTGCGGGAGTGCAGGTTCCCCTCGCTCCCCGGGCTCAGCCGCTCGCTGCTTCCCAGCCCGGGGCTTGACCCCGCGGGCGTTGGGAGCTCCGTGCTGCCCATGCTGTTACCTGAGGGCCGGGATGGAGCTGATGCCTCGCTTCACCGCCGGGATGAACCAGTGGGTGGCTGATCTGACAAGTGATGTTGTGTAAAACATAGCCCATTCCCTCTGCAGTCGCTCAGGGAACAGTGCAGAACTCGGGCGATGCCCTCGGCCGTGCAGATGGGCCAACGAGAATGGGTGGAGGTGGCCCTTTGCCTCCCTGCCCAGGTGTGGTGCGGCACGCACCTGAAGCCTCATCAGAGATGAGACTGAGATGAGGAAGCTGACGAGGGAGGGAGGATGCCATCAGCCTCCCACCAGTGCATTTCCACCCAGCCCATTTCCCGCCCAGCACAGACATGGCCTTTGGCACCCTGAGCCCCTGCTCTGCCTGCGGATCACATGTAGCAGCTTTGCCAGGGTCACCCTGGGCTGCCACACAGATCTGCACCACAGCGCCCATGCACCTCGGTGGAAGACAGATCCCAGTCTCGGGGCAGAGCTGCGAAGGGCCCACTCTGCCAGAAAATGTGTGCAGAGTGGAGGGATCCTGTGTCCAAGTGGTCCGACCGTGATGGCACAGGGCAGGCAGGGACCTCAGATGCACAGGACTCAGGACCACCCTGCTGCGTCCCAGTGCACTGGGAAGGGGGAGAGGTGATGAATTTGACCTGCAGCCCCCGCACCACTCCTGCCCTTGCTGTGCGTCAGCATGGCTATGTGGGACCGGGCACGGGGCCACCCACACCCCGGGCACACAGACCACTTTGTGCCTGCCCTGCGGAGCGGCGGCTCGCCACGATGGAAAAGAACTGTGAAACAGTGTGGGAGCGGGGGCAGCGCCGTGCGAGAGAACGCCCAGAGCCGCCTGGGAGGAAACAGATTGTAATCTCCCCAACGAACTGCGGCTCATCCCTACGAGGAACACAAGGGTCGGCACAGAGCTCGCTCCAAGGACCTGTTCCAGGGGGACCCTCGGACAATAAAGACCCCAAAGGCACAGGTGATGGGACTATTTAAATAGAGGTGCTTGGGAAAACCAATCCTGATGACTGTGTATGTTACTGGGGGTTTTTTGTTTTATTTTGCATCCCTCTTGGCCCTCCAGACCAACCCAAAATCAACTGGTGCAGCCACTTTCCACAGGCTGTGACTGATTCCTTTCAAAGGGCTCTTTTCTACAGGGGGAATCCAAACCCCACAATGCCGAGGAGAAAGGGCTGATGCCTGCAGGGCCTCCAGTGTGCAGGGGAGGAGGTCGGTGGCCACCGGCTCCAAAAGCTTTATTGCTTCTTGGTTTCTGATAATTCTAAGGACTCTAGGACTAACAACCACTATCAGTGAACATAGCTGTAGTTAAGGACACGCTGGCTGTGCCGGGGGGGGCGATGAGAAGGTCACGCTCCGTTGGCCCAGGCATCCCTGGCAGCAACTGTGGCAGGGCCCCACAGCCCAGGGTTCAGTGGGTGATGCAGAAACCAAGTGGGTGTGGTAGAAACCAAGGAGAAACTGCAGCACTGAGCCACGCAGTCCTGACCCATCAGTGGCTCTTTTTTAGGGTAGCATGGAAACCAGAGTGCAGGGAGTTGAGTCCAGCAGCCCAGAGGAGATGGTCCTCCCCACAGTTGGGCTGCCTGAGCCTCCTGGCACATGGTGGCTGCAGCCCTTTACTAATGGAAGTGGGAGCATTTCTGCCTCATGCAGTCCCCTGTAGGCTCTGTGCTGGTCCACACTTGGCTTCACCCAGAGACAGCTGCACCAAACGTCTGCTCAGAGGGACAAGCTGGGCCCTACCATTCCCAGCTGGGCTCTGCCATCCTGCTGGGCTACTTGGTGGGCTCTGTGGCCATGGTGTCCGCATCTGGAGACGGCAGAACACCGCTGTTCCCACCATTGCTCACATTTCCCTCGCTGTTGTCCGCCATGGGGCTGCTGCTTTTATCCTCCACTTTTTGCTTGAGTTTGAGGGAAGAATCTCTCTGGGACAGGAGGGGCTGGTAGCCAGTGAAGACTCCTCCACTCACGTTTGAACGCTTGTCTGTGGGTGGACAGAAAAAGAGAGTTGTTTACCTGGGGTCCAAACTGACCATTCAACTGAGAAAAAGGGTTGTGGAGCCTCTCCTTGCAAGAAGCATTCCTTCTCTGAAAGATGAGGATCCTTCTGTACCCCAGATGCCCCCAAAGAGGGAATGATGGGTGGGGGACTGGGCTCATGCCCCAGCATGGCCGTGCTCAAGGGAGGGTGGTTGGTTGGTCTCCTACCTCCTGGCCCAATGGGGTGCATCAGTCGGTTCATCTGGACGTTCCAGTGCTTGACGTTGGTGCTGGCCTGCCGCAACTTCCGCTGGGCTGCCTGGAAGGGAATGGAGGAGAGGGGTGAGCTGGTCACCCCACTGCCCCCGACTCGGGACTGTGGGCATGGACTTCCCTGAGTAAGCCTGGATTGGAGGTTCCCTCTGGGATGGAGACCCAGCTCACCCTCCTCTAGGTCTCCTGCTCCTCCTTCCCACTCCCACACTTCCTCCACACACTCCCACTGTTGACATCGCTTTGGACACCAGGGCTGTCTCCATGGGGCAGCACATGCTTATCCCATCTCAGCCACTGCAGCACCCTATGCCTGCACATGGCACAGCTCAGAAACCCCCGAGGCAATGTCACCTTGGTTCCCAAAGCTGCTGGGTCCTCCCCAGTATGAAGGTGGCTCCAGGAGGGCTGGGAAGTCCCCTGGGGCTCACCGCATGAAGGGATATGACACCGATGTGATACTCACCATGACGTCTTGGTCCACCCGCTGCCTGTTCACTCTCACTTCTTCCAGCTGCTTCTGTGCCTCTTCCAGACATTTGTTTTTGTTCTCCATCTCCTGCTTGAGGACTTGCTTCTCCCGCTGAGTTTTGATGATATATTCCTCTTGCTCCTCCTTCAGCTTCATCAGCTGCTTCAGTTTCTCCTCTTCCTCAGCCAGTAGCCTGACAATGAAGAGCAAGAGGTGAGGATGTCCCTCTGCCACTTCATCCACCAGCTTGCCCCGTCCCTGCCAGCATACCGGGAAGTCACCAGTGCACCCCTGTACCCAGGAGAATTGAGCTGCCCTGGGGAGCACATTCCCATGCACAGCTGCTGCCCAGGGAGCAGGGCTAGTTGAGGAGGGGGAAGGATGCCCTGGTCCTACCTGGCCTGCGCGTATCTCACGGCTTCCTCGTCCTGCCGTGCTTTCACCTCCTGCTGCAGGGCCTCCTGGAGCCGCTCCTGCATGGCCTCCAGCTCCAGGATGCGCTTGCGCTGACGCTCTGCCTCTGCCTCCTTCAGGACCATCTCTGCCTGCATGGAGGCACGAGCCTGCCACCAGGACAGGAGCCATCAGCGTGGGCGGCTGGCTGGGCCACAGCCACTGTCCCCAGAACCCCCTTAGTCCTGCATCCCAGGGTGGATGCCAGACATCTCCCAAAACAGGGAGAGCCCATGGCAAGAGGTCCAAAGCAAAGCTGTTTCCCTGCTCAGGAGACAGGCTGCATTATTTGGAGCCAATGCTGGCTGTGAGGTCAGAAAAGGGCTCCCTGGCCAGCCTGGCACCAGCACTTGTGTCTCACTGCCCCCCTCCATACCCTTGGGGCAGGTTGTCCCCATCTCCTGCTCCGAAGGGATCTCAGACCTGTCCAAAGGCTGACCCAGGCAAGGGAAGGGGAAGGAAGCACCCACCCCATGAG